GGAGAGCTAGCTTCATGCTTTCGAAAAAAGACACAGAATCGGAGTTTTAGGTCGCAGAGCTAGCTTCATGCTTTTGAAAAAAGATAGAGAATTGGGGTTTTTTTTTATATAGGATTTTGGAGAGACTGAGAGGATGGTTGCTGAAAGTCAGTGTTATATTGGTGAACTGGATTTTTCCGGAAGGGAGAAAAGGCTGATACTCTTGATTATTGATGGAATGGGAGATACTTCTGTGGTTGAAATTCAGAGTTGTCTAGAAGGTTGAGTATGCTGAATGCATGCGTGATTGTGTTAATCTAACTATACGGATAGAGGATATCTGCCAACAGTTTAAAGAGGTATTGGAAGTTGGCAATTTGAGGTTGTTTAGGGTTTCTATAATAATTGGAGACCTCCCGACAGGGATAAGAGGAATATCAGCAAGCGGCCAAGGGACATCGGTGTAGATTGCAACATAGCCTCACAATCTGTAAGCGAGGTTGAACTGGAACTTCTTGAGCATTCGAAAGGACTTGCAGAGACACTAGCGATAGATGTTTCATAACAAGTCGGAAGGACAAATTGAGGGTCACAGCTTGCCGAAGTTCAAGGTCTAGGATTAAGATAATTAACGATAAAGATAAAATAAAAAACATAAAATAAATAAAATAAAAATAAAAATAACAAAAGAGATTGAAGTTATATAGGGTCTCTAGGCGTTTCATTTTGGAATTAAGCTTTTATATTGCAATCCGATATAGATTATATTTGGGTAGTCAAGAACCCGATAGACTGCTTGAGTACTAACAAAACACCATACTACCTCTTACAGCCAGATACACGGCTCGTTCTCAAGCAAGATAACACGTAATACGACAACATTAGTTGATAGAGAAAAATGCTACGATCTGTTACATGCCTAATCTGAAGATCAATATAGAAAGTTATTTTCCCTAGCATTTTCATCTCAAATTCATGTATAAGTAGGTTTGTAGCTGTAACACATGCAGATGTAGTGCCCACTAGGTTAAGATCATCAACATATACAGCGATAATCACAAAACCAATTTTATCTCATTTGATAAACAAAAAAGGAATTAATGGATCACTTATAAAATTATTTGTAATTAAATAATCTCGAAGACGTTGATACCACAGGCATCCAGATTGTTTTAAACCATATAAGGCCTTACATAATTTAATACCACGATATTTTCCAAGAGCGAGTCGATTTGAAGTTCTTGTTTCTAAATCAAGTGGAACTTTCATATAAATATTTGCATCAAGAGAACCATATAGATATGCAGTTACTACATCCATCAGATGCATCTCAAGGGTGGCATGAATTGTCATTCCAATAATATATCAAAATGTAATTGAATCCATGACTGGAGAATATGTGAATTCATAATCAATACCAAATTATTGAGTAAATCTTTGAGCAACAAGACGAGCTTTATAGCGGATTATTTGGCCTTAATCATCTCGCTTGCATATTAATATCATTTTATATTCCACAAGGTGAGATGTAAGAGTATCTAAAATTGGACCAAAGACTTTCCTCTTACGCAAATAGGCATACTCCTCCTCAATAGTAATTTTCTATTTTGACCAATCAGAGCGACACATCGCCTCCTCCATGGTTTGAGGTCAAGATTATCTTCTTCGCAAGAAAGGACTTCTATAATCATATATGAAAATGATTCATCTATAGTAATAGATGGTCTGTCCCAAATATCATCTGTAGCATAATACAGAATAGATAATTCTTTACTCAACTTGTTCTTATTCCTTCCAATTCCAAGATTGTTTTTCATAGGAATTGAAGGTACATTATGCATGGATATATCATCATGAATTGATAGTCCCGTAAGATGAGTGGCAATTTCTTGAGAAATAATACTCGGATTAGTCAATTTTATAGCTTTTTTCTTACATGGTTGTTTATCTGGTCCACGAGTTCTTTTAGTTGTTGTTGTTATAACTTGAAGTATTGTAGTCAATGGCACTGCAATCTGAGCAGGTGCATTTTGAGCCTCATTAACAAGAACTCTTGTAATTCTAGGTGCATCATTGAAGCCATCAAGTGTTTCATCTGCAATCCGTTTTAGATGCAAAATCTTAGCAACTTCAGTTTCTACCAAAGATGTCCTAGGATCAGGATGCATTGTAAACATTTCTGGTACTTCAAATATGAGTACTTTATTTCTTTGTTGTTTGGATACTCTTCCTTAAAGAGATGGAAATATATTTTCTTCAAAATGGCAATTTTGTAAACATGCACGTAATAATGTACTAGTTGATAGATCAACAATACGAATAATGCTTGGTGAATCAAAACCAACATATATGTCTTCTTACCTATGAGCTCCAATGGTACGCCGTTGAGGTTCTGGTATTGGAATCCAAGCATGGCAATTAAATACTCGTAAGTGAGATACATTTGGAACACGACCCAAAATGAGCTCATGTGGTGAAACGATTTCAAGAGAAGAAGACAGAGGCGTATTAATGTTGCTGCATGTAAAACTCCATGATCCCACATAGATGCAGGTAGATTTGCGTGAAGGAGGAGTGGCCGAATAATGAGTTGTACATGCTTTATAAATGACTCTGCAAGTCCATTTTGAGCATGTTCATATGGAACACAATATGTCAACTCGATTCCTGTTGCAATACAATAGTCTTGAAAAGACTTTGATGCAAATTCTTTTGCATTATCCATACGCAATGTTTTTATAGGATAATCAGGAAAATATGCCCGAAAGCAAATAAGCATAGATATAAGATTGGCAAACACTATGTTTCGAATTGATAATAATGAAACATGTGATTGTTTACTTGATGCATGAATAAGGATCAAAAAATAATGAAATGGTCCTGATATTGGATTAATAGGACCACAAATATCACCATGCAATCTTTCAAGCATTAGTGGTAATTCTTGTGGAAGTTTCCAAATTGAAGGCCGAGTAATCATTTTACCTTGCATGCATGCACGACATAATTCCATAGAGTCTACATCTACAGGTTTTAAATTGTGCCTAGTTATACATGGAATGATCTTTCTAAATAATGTGGATCCTAGATGTCCCAATCGTCCATGCCAAAGAGAAACACGACTCTTTGAGATAGATTATGCAAAATTAAATATAATGGGAGGCCGAATCATAATTCGATATAAACCATTTTCTGTAGCAAAAGCTTTTTCAATAACTTTATGGTTCTTTGCAAGAACCAAAACCTCTTTTCTATTTAAAGTGGCGGTCAAGAGGTGATAACCATTAATATGCACATCTCGGTAGCTCATCAGACTCCGAGGTGTTGAGGGTGCAAACATCCCATGTTTACATTTTATGATGGAAACCGTAGGTAATTTTACCATCGTTGTGCCCTCTTGGAAACAAAATGCATTTGATCCAGCCATAGTGATCATATTTTTAGTTTGCCAAGTTGAAGATTTTTCAATAAAAAATCGTCTATCTCGCAAGATAGTATGTGTTGTTGTAGAATCAATGAATGCATCATTTGATTCATCATTAGAGGTTCTATCATTCATATAAGCCTGTAAGTCATCAACACCAATTGAATCCATGGAGACATCCATGGTATGAACTTCACGAGCCTCAGCTCGTAATTTCTTATTTTCTTGGAACATTTTAATAAGATATTCTGAAGTACGACACGCATGTACTAAATGTCCAATCATTCCACACTTTTGGCAAGAATACATCTCTCATTTTTATTTTTTACTATAATTAATAGTATAATATTTATTCTTTCCATATGGGTAGAGATGGTCTTGACTATGACTACCTTGATACTTATGAGAATGTTTCCCATGTTTATATAATTTCTTCTTAGACTTTGAAATATTAAATGCATGAGATTCTAGAACTGTAGTTACAATAGGACGAGCTTCCGCATTGCACAAGAGTAGCTCGTTTTGCTTCTCCGCAAGAAATAGATAGGACATGAGATCAGAATAACTCTAAAATTTCATATTCTTGTATTGTTGTGCAAGCACAGTAGATACATGAGGAAATGTAGAGAGAGTTTTTTCAATCATTTCTTCTTCAGAAATGCTTTGTCCACATAATCGTAATTGTGAGACAATACTATACATTTCACTATTGAAAGCATTTAAATTTTAAAAATCCAAGACATGTAAATGTGTCCAATTATGACATGCACATGGAAGAAAAATGGTCTTTTCATGATCAAACCTAGATTTAAGATTCTTCCAAAGTTCTGCAGGATCTTCCATTTCTAAATATTGATGTTATAATGCATGTACAAGATGACGACGAAGGAGAAGAAGTGCTTTCCAACGAATAGCAGGAGGTATAGAAATACTTATTATAGGAGATTCTTCAAACATAATGGCATCCGAGAATTGTTCTGCAAATAAATTTGCTTTTGCCATTTTTGCCCATAATAGATAATTGTTTCCATCCACAGTCAATGGTAGAAATAAAAGAGCTTGAAAATCTTGGGATGTAGTGGTAATACAAGAAGAGAAAGAGAGGAGAGGATAAATACTCTAAATACTGTAGCTATAGTATTTACTATATTCTATAATAAATATTATGGAGAGCACCAGCTATATTTAATAATCTCAACAGTTCAAAAGCCTTACAAAGATCCTTTGTGTGGTAAAGAAAAGCCCTCCTTTAAATAGTCTTTGCTTTTAAATACAGTACAAAGTGAGAAAAACCTAAATAGACTGAACCATTTTTTATTACAAATCTACACATGTCAACAAATATCTGCATTCTAAAAAAATTATATATATATATATATATATATATATATATTTCTGTTTTCCTTAGCAGTTGTTTCAGCAATTTTTAATATAACTTCTCAACTTTTTCTAAAAACCACCTCTTGAGATAGATGGAACCAACAGAAATTCTAAATTACAATATTATTCATTCCTTGTAAGAAAAACTGAACCCCCTCGGTGCACACTCTGAATCGGCGATAACCCTTGGAACCCGAAGAGGCGGGTTGCCGTTCATCACACACACACACACATCTCACATACTCCCTACCCCCCGCGCCAACCACCACCTTTGCCTCGCTCTGCTTTTTCAAATCTTTTTGAAACCTTTTGCAGATTGCAACATATATATATTCTTTCTACCCGACTAGTTGGTCTTGCAGAAGCGGCGGTGCACTTGCTGTTGTGGTCCCGTGCCTTTTGTCTCAATCCGTCTCCGATGGCGCTGTGATCGTGGAATATACTTCTTGAGTCTTTGCTCGCACCTTGAGAAAATTGTGGTAATGATCTTGCACAAACCACGATTGTCTACTATTCTGAACGAGAGGTTTCGTTTTCTGTACGAACTGTGCCTGTGCTTATTCTTTTTGCTCCGTTTCTAATCATTCGTGACATTGATGGTGAAGCTATAGGTCTTTTTTTCTTTCTTCTTTTTTTTCACCGTCGAACTAGTGACGTTGATTTTGTTTCGTTTTTTTTTTTTTTTTTTTTTTTTTTTGTCTTTTTTGAACAAGGTGTGACGCAAACGGCAGAGTTAATATCTTCGAATATGGTTGAGTAGACTTGTGATGTGAATCTAAGTTTTGAAGAAGCTTCATTGTTGCCCTCTATTTGCTATTCAACAACACGCGGCCGTATGCAGTGGTCTGCAACATTGATTGGCGTTTTCCTCTGGAAATGTCGCTAATGTTCGTGTAAGCATTTGAGCAGACAAGTCATGGCATACGTATTGTTCCAAAGAGAAGACATACGTTTGATTGTCTGATTAATTTCTATAGTACTGCAGTATCCTTATGGTGTCTGGTAGTGCAAACGGAAGTTGAGCAGATCACCTTCCCATTACAACATTACCAACTGAGGGAGCAGTTTCCGAATTAAAATTGGAAATCAATTGCCCCTTTATAAAAAGCCAAGAAGGGATTTCTTAGAGGGTAACAGCCGTATGGATCTCCCGAAGCCTGTGACACAGTTTCTTAATGAGCTGGAAATTCACCTCAAGGAGAAGTCCTTGATGGTATGCGCCGCAACATTTGTCTGGTCATTTGCGGTTTTCCGGAACTTCGGTTTCAAGCTGGTATAAGTTGGGCGATGAAGATGCCGAGGCTTATTGTGCTTCATAAAACAGGATGGTGGACAACAGGCTTCTGGTGCAGATCACCAATGAGGAAGACCACTCCAGAATCTTCACCAGAAATGCCAACAACTTACATAATCGTGAAAGAACAATCTCTAGGGAACCACTCGCAATGACCAAGAGTTCCTCTCCAGTATACGAAGCAGAGCAGTCACTAATAAACATCGCGTAAGAGTCCCAACCGCTGAGCAATTCCGAATGAACGCCTTCACCAGTCTAGTTGACCGAGCCACGAGTTGATCCAAACAAGAAGAAGTGCTCATCACAGAACACTCTGTATCACCAAGAAATCGCGCCACAACGTTTTCCTGGCATCACATTCCACAGGGTCAGGGTCTGCATCTTTGCTCCTGCTCGACTGGTAAACAACAACCGACATCACATCGTCAACGTCTACAAATACAACAGGCATGTTCTTTTACTTAAGCTGTGCACGCACGGCACTCCTCGAAAGCCAGCTAAAAATTACAATTTAATGATCAGAGCGAATAGGGCAAGCGGCACAGAACAGGTAAGAGTAAATCGCAAAACCAGATTGCATTCAGTTCTAAATGCTGTGTGGTCGTAGAGGATGCATAAACCACGAGGTCGCTGCTCTCGTGTGCAATGAAGACGACAGCCTCTCTTTCTGGCCACGGGTGCGTTGCATTCTCGGCAACGTTGAGCGATGCTTTCTAAGCTTTCATGGAGGGAAGGGCCTCCATGTCTGTGAACTGGGAAGACCGTCGTTTCCAGTTTCAATTGTGCCAGTCTGAATGCCTCCTTTATGCCTTAGTTTCGTCGTGTAAAAACTTAATACAAGGACTGGGAATATTTTGTGTCTGCTGTAAAATCTTGGATAGAGCAACAATTCTCTTGTGAATGATGAAAATAAAAATAAACAAGATGTTGGTGTAATTTTTTTTATATATTTGAATATTTATTTTGTAAACTAAATATAAATAAATAAATTTATACAACTCTTTTTAGAATGAGTAAAATATTCATTTATATAATATTATTCTACAAAAGAATTCTAAATAATTGTGGTGAAGATGTTAGTTATTTATTCTTTTTAGTACTTAAAAAAAATTCATGCTCTTGGTATTCATCCTTGGATAGGCCATACTGTAGATTACTTTTTAATCATATTAAAGATAGTAAAAAGAGAAATATCTCCTTAAATTATATTTTTGTAAAAAAAATATTTTCTTTTTTATTTTACAACGTAATAAAATTTTAGAATATATATATATATATATATATATATATATATGTCTTTTAATTTTTTTTCTTTATATACACTACTTTTTGTATAGCATTGAAAAAAAAAATAAATAGATTAAATCTTTATGAAGATAATTTAATTAAATTAAATACTACCATAACAAAGTTGGAGTAACTCAAGGTTTAAACTTAAGAGAGATATATTTTCAGTAAGATTAATAAATTATATTTTTGATTAGAAGTTGAATTTATAAACAATTACATCAACTGCATTATTATTACAAACTAACTATTGTCACTATATTGTATTACAAAAATAATAGTAAATAGTATGAGTCATCTCAATGTCAATACTACATTAATAATACTTATGGAAGAGAATTTTGACTAGATTTGAGAATAAATAAATGGTATTTAATGGAAGGTTGCAATAGGGTTTTTGATTAATGTAATGTTAGATTCTTGCATTTGTTGTAAGTATGATATCCTAATATGTATTAAGAATTAAATTTATATGTTAGTTGGTGGTGAAAACTTCAATACACTTGAAGAATATTTCAAAGCTTCTAGTTATGTCTTTAAAAACACAGACAGTAGCATAAAATTATTTTGCAATATTTATTAGGTTGGTTACACAAACAATTGAAGATCCACATCCAATAATATATCTTGAAATGGAATAAGTTAATATACTTCAGAACTAATATAGTTAAGATAATTTCTTATCAATATTGGACTCTTTTTTAACAAGAAGCAACATTTGTCATATAAACATTTGTTATATATAATAATCAAAGATGCATGTATTTGCAAAATACTTCCAATATTATTCTTGTACCAAAGACATAAATATATATATATATATATATATAAATATATATAGTTTATTTTATTTTTATAACTAAAGTTTTAAAATTTATTAATGTATCTACCAAGATTTGTTTCAAAAGGGTTTAGTTCATATATTTAGAATTAAATTGGTAGCTACTTCATTTATTGAATTCCAGATTAAAATTTCTTCTGTTTGTTTCCATTGTCATGCCAAATCATTTCATTATTCCCACCACAATAGCAAACTCTTTTTTGTCCTAACTAGCGTATACATAGAGAATACCAAAATAACAAAAATAGAAAAGTCAGCTTCTTGGTACTGATAAGATAAAACCGAATCAGCTTGAAATGTTTTGTGAAATGTTGCAGAATAAAGGGTGCATTCAGCATTTGGGTTCCAGATTAACCAGAGCACCTATGTAAAAGTAAATAATCTCTGATAAGACGAAAAGGAACCGGTTCATTGCCATCACGCACAAGATGCTCTGAATTGGGTACGTAGGACTGACTGTCATCCATCAAACTAGGAATCCTAGCGACTGGCATTCCAAAGCACACTCATGGAAATGTTGGAAAGAGACAACCAGTTAACAGATTCATGACATTACATTATAGAAAGATGTTGAAACTGGGTGATGCTAGATCAAATCATGTCGCCATATTTGATTTATTAAGCTGAGTCATTTTGTTACAAGGATGATAAAGCTGCGAATCCACGCGTGGACGGTCTCGCGAATGGATCATTCTCATTGGCACTCTCTCCAACTGCGCCTGAAGAGGTCACTGCAGGGTTTGCTTCTGCATTATCTGAAGCTGACGCGTTTCCCGTGGCATTCACACAATGCAGTTGTAACCAGCGGTCCATTTCCCACAAGCAATGCATCACACTCTCACGCCCCTGATAACCATGACTCTCAAGTGGCAGAAGAACTAGCCTCGTAAGCGCTCCGTGTCCCTTCAATGCACTAAAGAATCGCTCCGACTGGCAAGCAATAGAAATGTCAGTTTCAACATCATTTCAAATTTTTAACACTTTTGATAGAATTTTCAACTATTACATGCATTCACCCTCCACCAACAGGCTCTAAAGTAGAGCAATGCCCAAAAAAGAATAGTGAGCTCTTCAAGTGTTTCAAAAAATAGCTACAGTTGTGAGGCATACCTGCATGGTCATTGTGCCAGAATTATTATCCTCGTCTCCATGAATTAGAAGAAGGGGTTTTTTGACGCGATTCGCATACATATATGGGCTCATCTCGATGTAGGTCTTCTGTGCCTCCCAGAGAGTTCTCTCTTCTGCCTAAAACAAATAAGATGGTAACATTGCTTAGATATGGCTCAAGCATACAATGCTTCAAAATACTCCGAAATTTCAGAATTCAAATTACACGAGCTTTAAAACGCAAGAGCAACTTTTAAGGTCACTTGGACAAGAGAATTAGAGAACAGACCTGAAAACCGAAAGGTGTCAAGGTTCTGTTGTAAGCTCCAGATCGAGCTATTCCACAGGCAAATAAATCTGAGGCATGAATCAAAAGATTGGCTGTCATGAAGGCTCCATAAGAATGTCCTCCCACCGCAATCTTGTTTGGATCAGCTACCTGCAAGTTATAAAGCAAGTAATTAATGATAAGACGCTCAGAGATCGACTGAAAAATAGCTCGAATTTGGCGGAATGGAAGTTGCAGAGGCCAATCATTTCAAACGTTAGGATTTTCAATCCACAGCACAAGCACAGTTCTGAGAACAAAATCCATCAAGACATACCCCGCGCCTGACAACTTCGTCAACGGCAGCTTTTGCACTCGCCACCAGCTGCTCAACATACCTGTGAGAAGCTAAAACTTAGGATCATTGTTCCATGGAAAAATTAACTTAAAGCCAAAAAGAAAAATCAATCACTTCGACGTACACCTGCGTAATCCAAGAGTCGTCATTACCACCACACACTTAAATGACGAAACCATATACTCGCGAAAATCATATGTATGACCAGTATCTGAAATGTACACTACACCAAAAAATGGACGTGAATTATGTTCTGCACACCTTTCATTGGGCTCTTCGTCACCTTCACCAATAATTGGCATTGTTGGCCCATCAAGAATAGCAAATCTGCGCGTTTCATGTGTTTTAGCAGTTATTACGTCATGTAGACCAATAATGATAGTCTCTAAAGCTAAGAATACATCCGATACTCCTATTGATATACTGTAAAACGTTACCCAAGAACAGGTTTTAATACACTGATTCACAAGAGAATGGCCTGAAGGCTTCACAAGAAAATACTTTCGGTCGAAATTCCTCACCCTCTAGCTAGCCACAGAAGCGGAGAAGTAGAATTTATGCCAGCGAAGGAGAACGGAGAACCCCTCATTTGGCTCGCGTTATCTTTGCTTTTAAATTCTCGAGGATATGCCCACATTAGCAATGGAAGTTTGCCTTTAGCTGAATCAAAGCCGGGTGGTGTGTACAAAGTTGCAGTCAGTTGGACACCATCAGACCTCGCATAACGTATTATCTCCTTGTTCAGATCTTTTAGTTGGGGATAAGGGTGAGGAAAGTTGGTAATTCTGGTCTCCGTTTTCGCGGGCCAACAGACAAAATAGAACTGGTGCGGTTCTGTTTGGGACTCTCTTGCTATAACGATTTTGAAATTGTCGAGAGTCAAAACTTCGTCACCTTTCGGAGCCATTAAGAGGGCCAACGTTTCGTAATACTTCTCTTTCACACTCTGCCAAATGCGCTCCTTCTCTCCAGTTTCTCTGGCATAAAAATGTGAGTAAGATATTCAAGGCAGGTCCTTTACTTGTATGGGGAAGCCAACTTTGATTCAGATCAAGATGAGATGGTCCTCAAAGAGCAGTAGAGTAAATTACACTCTTCAGGTCGTTCATAGAAGTTAATGCGAAGCCACCAAGCATGATTGTGAATGTATTAACTTAATTAAAACCACAGGAAGCTAGGTTCTTACATATCAAGGAGGTCCAGGAATGGAATATTTCCTTCAGGAGTCGCGCCACGGCCATCCAGCAGTAAGCACTTATTACCAGCTGAATTCCTAACTTGAGCTAGCACGTATGTTCCCAAACTTGATTGGCGGCGCTTCGGACTGCCAGGGTCTCCATACACATCCTCAGTAGATCGATCAAACAAGATATGTTTCTCCTTCTCTGGATTACCAGGAGTAATAACCCAAGTGCGAGTCTTTCTAGTCTTGTACCAACCATCGTAAAGTAACGCAAGATCATCGTCCATCCAACAAATGCCTCTGCACATTTCCATTTTCTATACGATATGAGACAACTTTACAACCTGCACATTTCTATGTTGCTTAATGAGTAGAATAACAATGCAATGTAGAGGATGTTGGGGAGTAATCGAGAAAGTGTTATAAATTAGTGTTGAGCAAATGTACTGGAAACGAAGATCAGTCTCTGCGATCACTTGAGGAAACCCTCCTTCTGCTGGCTCAGTGTACACAATATCTCTGGGCGACACCTCATTTTTGGGATCACCTCCATCTTGTGCTTCCACCCTAGTAGTATCAACAATCATTTTAAACAACCATGCGTTCGAAGTGGCTTCTGACGACATTTTGATCAGCTTTCTATCACGAACTCCGTAAGCACGAAAGCAGAGAATGAAACTGTGCTGAGCGATGATTATTGGCTTACCAATAGAGAGTGGCCAGCTTATCATTTCGCCAATTGACTGAGCGGCGACCCTTCCTTGCACTATCAAAAGAGATTGGAATATCCTCCGCAAGCGGCAAATCACATACTTCTTTTACAATCTCCCCACTCGGTCGCCATACCTCAATCTTTTTAGGAAATCTAGCGAGATGTACAATAAACGAAAATGGCCGATGAAGGTATCGAACCAGTAGAAAATGACCATCAGGGGAAGCTTCAACATCACAATATAAAGCTGGTGGCCCAATTGGTAGTGCTTGTCCATCTATAGAGACAATCACTATCTGCGACGTTGCATAATATTCAAACAAGTTCTCATCATGAGAATCCTTCAACAAGTCCTGATATGTACGATTTTGCATCACAGCCTGCCCTTCGTTCGATTGAATCTTTGGACCAAACGGAGTTGGGGGTTTCTTGGGAGGTGCACCTCGACCTTGAGGGATAGTGCATACCACAAGACGAGTATCATCAATCCAAGAAAAGCTGCACAATGAGAGAGATGTCCGTAAGCCTCATCAGTTTCAGCTGACGCTGCTTAACAGATGCGTTGCAGACATAAAATATGCAGAAAAAAATACCAGTGTCCAAGGATTTAACTGGTCAAGGACGGTGTTGAGCGCATATTCAGGGGCACCAAGGAGCTGCCTCGCCTTCCCGGTTTCAGCATCCGCAACCCAGAGACTGGGCAACGTCACTGGACCTTCGCCCTGAAAGTAATTAGAACAAACAAAGGACGTTTAGAATATACGTTTCTGATAGTGATCAAGTAAAGGTGTCAATTTCATCAGACCTACACACAAGTTGCAACTTAAACCTAGTATGTAATCCACAAATAATGAGTATCTTCTCCAACTTCACTCTCCTGTTATGTTGCGGGGTTGTTTGAGAGTATCACTATATGTGTACATTACATCAGGACCAGGACAGCATTCTTAACCTGATCCGGTTCTCGAACACTGAACGCAAAGTAACGGCCATCTGGTGACCTTCAGCAAACACATTCCGCCAATTAAAAGTTAATCGATACGAGTAGAAATAGACTAGCGATAAACAAAAGACTCTAATCTATGCGAAAAGCTTGTAAAACACGAGGAAACTACAGTGACAGAGACTAACAAGCAACCTTACCAGGAACAATAATTGATTCTAGACCCTTCCGGAACTCCAGTCATGACGAGGTCCTCGCCTATGTTATTGTCACTAAGCACCTTGCGAATATGAATGCCTGTATAGAAGGACCTGTATAAGAGCTTTGACCCACGAAAATCAAGAAAAGTCGCACAAGACCAGTTTCAGAATCGTAATAAAATTCATACACACGAAAGAATCAAAAGGGAATCGTCGATGCCAATAACTTCGCAAGAAAATATACTCACATCCGACTCTTTGTGTTGTACTCGGGATCGATGCGCATGCCACCCAGCTTAAGCTCTGGCCTTGCTATGTCCGACAGGGGTGCTAACGACCGTCGCTGTAAGAAAAGAATCGTCTTTTTCGTTGGAGAAAACATGAGGGTAGGGGTTGGAGGTGCATCTACAATTTTCCTGATCTCTTCCGGTGGAATCTGATATCCATTGTCGGCTGGTTGTGCTAAACATCATGCGAAAGGGAAATCAGTATCAAAATAAACTGATAGGTGAACTCGAAAAACCAATATTTCACAGGGACGACCCAAGTCCAAGGAGAAGAAAGTACATTCAAGGACATTCACTTCAACAAGCAAAATACACAAATGCTAACATTTTTTAAATATAACCTCTATCATTCAACATCAATCAGCTCAGTCCTGGGAGATGAGCAATTAAGTCCAAACTACCGATAGCATAAATTTGTCCAAAACCATACCGGTTTACGAATATAGTTTCACTTACACACTCAACAAGAAAACGTAGGAAGTTATAGCCGCATGTCATGTATAAAACTAGAACTATGACCTTGAATGAAATGAACCAGAAGTTATAAAAAGGAAATAGAGATAGAAGTAATGAAAGTCTTCATTAGTATACATTAGTATACATTAGTAAAAACCATTTGCAGAATATTGCCTATGACTATATCACACTTGCTCTGTTTGAGACAAGTGGATTCGTTTGGGCGAACGTTAACTTGCCCTCTCTTTTTTCTTTTCTTTTTAAGTCTTTTCATTCCCTTCTTTGCCTCATTTTGCACACTTATGTGCATGTTGAAACGCTTTCTTCGTTGATAAATCTACTTTTCACCATAAGGTCATACCTGCAGAACTGGCGATTTCAACGTCTACGATTCCTTTAACTATAACGAAGAGAAAAAGAGATTGAAAACCTCTTATTAGAACAACAGAACAGCAGTTGAAGTTTTTTTTAGAATTATTGTAGCAGCACGTTTAATTCTCTTAAAACATTGTGAAAGCAGCACACATGAAACACTTAATTCAATTACAATATCGTGGTAGGAGAAATTCTATAAACAAAATCTTAAGGCTGCTAGATGCATCAATGGCAAAAAATCTACAAGAGTTTCCGAAAGGTTCCAGATTATTAACAGCTGAATTCAACTGGGACCAACATGGTTGGTTCCTCATACCACGTGCACCCTCAATCCAAACCTTCTTGGTGCTCCAAGACATTACTAACACACCAGCGTAGACGCACCGTTAAGAACCACAACTAGGTCAAAAGCGTCTATAGTTGATTTTCGAATCCAGAAGCCGCACGCAAAGGAAGAATATCATAAATCCTTGCTGACAAACTACTTCTTGAGCAATGCACCTGAAGATCACTCAACACATGTTGCCTAATCTGTAATTTTTCTGCTTAGTACACTATTTGTTTGGTAAGCCTCCGATAACCATTAAACGAAATAGTGGGAAAAAATCTATAACAGATTCAAACAAACATAAGTTTGGGATGATTCGAACAATGAGGCCCGACAAGCGATCAGAAGTGATGCTTTACATGTCTCAAACACCATTCTGAAAGAAGTAGGTTCAATCCGCAAGTACTACACAGATGAATTTAAGCTCTTGATGCACATATATCGACATTCTGAACGAACTCCTAACAATATCCAGTTATAATATCGAACGGGAAAATCTAAAACTGCAACCAAGTCATTGACCTCTAATTAAAATTTCAATCCAAAGACCATACTCACTGCTTTCATAATTTGTTGCGCCTGTAGCAGATCCAGCCGTAGACTCTGTGCCTGCTAATGCAACCAGGTTTCGTACATCGTGAATTCCCATCGCTCTGATCTTCACAAACTCCCAAGGATTCAAATTCGGAAATAAGGAAACCCTTTATTTGCTTCCACTATCGATTCGACAACTCAAGGGGAATCTTCTGCAATCTATCAAGCACAACCGCACCAAACTTCAATACCATATTCAATAATAAAAAACAACTTCAGTCAAACGTCACTCGCATTCTGTTTCAAGACATCCGAAACTGTTCAAAAAGTAACAAGAATGATAAAAACGATCTAGAAATTCAAGTGAAAAAAGTAAAACTGCTTATGAACCCGAGAATTCCAAACACAGAGCGCCTCAAGATGCGAGGACAAGAGTTCCACACACGCGATAAATCGACACTAACGCCACACACACACACAAAATAAGAAACACATACACTGATGCTACGCCTCCAAAAGCTCGAATCTCGAGAAGAAAAACCAAACCACAAACAAACGCTGCCAAATGCTCTCAAATTCAGTCAACAAAACATGCCACAAACCGAATCTCCGCACATATTCTGCACCGAGCTGCTCAACAATCGCCGGCACGCCCTCGCAGCAAAATGAAAGGGAAATACTTCATGAATTCATGAGAGATACCTGCAGCGGGATCGGATTCCTAGCTTCAGAACACAATATCAGGGCAGGGCATTAGCTTCTTAGCTACAGAAGCTCGGCCTTCACAGAAGGACAGCGAAGATGCCATTAGCCCTACAAGCCTTGTCGTGAACGTTGACGGCATATCACACTGCGAACGGTCGCACGACTGCTGGTCGCCCACGTCGCAAACCGCCGCAAGTGTGATTGTGGCGGCGATGCGACGGCGACGGCAATGAATGAAAACAGCGATGGATGATTGGCGGGGACATATGGACGAACGTTGCGCGAAGCTTTGTAAAGCTTTTGGGCATCTTTCTTGGGATAGTGTGTGTGTTTCTTGACGAGATATTACTAATCTTAAGTGACTAATCAAATAGTTGGTGAATCAATTTTAGTATCATAAAGAGTACATTATTTGGGGATTCTACCTGTAAACTTCCAAACTCAACCACTAGATGAATGACGTCTAATAGAATTATTATCCATAGGGTTGATTCTGGAGTAAAAGATTGTGCCCTATTTGTTGGTTGTTTGTTGCTCTTAAACTTACAGATAATGGGTGTGTAGGTGGTCAGGGGCACCAATGCTTCTTGAAATAATACTCTTTACTTATTAAGCCAAAAGTATGAATTGAAAGAGCTCTTTACATAGCTTAAGTGTGACTTAAGGTTAAATCTCCATGGTGACAATAGTTAATCTTTATTTTCTTATGTCATATTGTTTCAAAAAAATTGGATTTTGTTAAGACTAATTTTATATTTGGGGTCTACTTGAACTACATTCGTTTACAAGTTGGCAACATATTTAACAAATATATTAAAACATTTCAAAATCATCCAAATTTCTTGTTTGGATGAACATTACTTTTATGTATTCATCTTTCATATTGTCCTATGTAAGGATTAATCCTTAGTAGCAAAAAGACACATCATATTATTTTATTATTATCTCATGTAGTGAATATTAAAAAAGACCAAAACAGAATTAAATATAAAGGAGGATGACATTGTACTTTTTTCCAGAAATAACTAATTTTGTCAGAAACGTACTTCCATATTTTTGTAGAGTAATTAGATTGTTTTCATACGGATAATTCATACATGTCACAAGCTGAAAACATATATTCACCACATTAACTGGTAGTCCATGTTTGCTTCAAACCTAAATGAGTACAATAATTATTAGCATGTATGCACGAAAAGTCCACTGCATTAACCCTCCATTTCATAGTGTAAAATCAAAACTATTACTTAGCTTATGGCGTTCCTTGTAGTTTAACAGCTTCACAAGAGTAAGCAGCTCTCTCAACATTATAAACCTTTTGTATATAAAAATGCACATATATTTTAAAGATTGTAGTTTCAAGTGATTAACAATTCATTCAAGTATATAATTACTTCTGAAAAAAAAGGGGAAAAAGAAAAAAAGGAAAAAAAGGGAAAAAAAAAGAAAAAAAGAAGCTATATTTGCTGTCGATGGACGGAAGTTGGTATGGTTTGGGTGCAGACGTTTGGATGTAACCACTCTTGAAATGATGACAAGCTGAAACAATTTAGTAAGGTTCATCTTTCATCTCTAATCCTAAATATATTTCACTTCACAAGAGTAACTTCCAAAAGAAAAAATTGGGCACAGACGCACACAAACTGAGAGAGAGAGAGAGAGAGAGAGAGAGAGAGACTCACATAAACACACGGAAGGCAAACATGTAATCAGCAAATATACAATTGCAGCAAGTACCGCTGTTGATCTTGTCCCCTGCGTCTGAAGCACTGGTCATCAACTTGCTATACACGGCAAACTGGGAGTTTGGATTGCTACAATGCTATCCGTTAAGTCAAAGCCTCTGCCATTGTCTTCCGATACGAGACTTGCTGCTCATAGAGTGACCTAAAAATCTCGTACTTTGCATTGTGGTACTTCTTGACACGCTCATCTTGTGAAGGCTCCACCACCTAGCACCACAAGTATAACGTTCGGATTTTAGTATTGGGATTGGCTTCAAGGATAATAATAAAACTGAGCTGATTAGGTCGAACCGCACTTCAGAATATGTATGACTTAGCAAGCCAGGTTTGCAACTCGGGAGTGTGGATTAAACTTCAAAATCTGTCGCTCACCAGACCAGGGGCATTCAGTGCAACCATGGCATCTCTGACGCTGCTGTACTTTTTAGCAGCTACTGCTCCAAGCACTGCTGCGCCAAGCAAAACGGCCTCGTTTTCCCTAGGCAATCCAACTGGGAATCCTGTCGCATTGAAATGATAAACCAGCGTAAGATTTTGAATTCAATTCGGGCGGTAAATATATGTGCACGAGTTTGCACTAAAAAGGGTTCAAAAGATAAGTACACCAGTCAACTAGGAATCATAACACTGCTTTAAATTCTCTACATCATGATTGTCGTTACAAGAATTAAAAGAAAATAAAGGAATCGGCTAACTTGCAGGGAGTTAGATGACAGGGAATTCTTAAGTAACATAGCTGTTCGGCAGGTGCGATTAACATATTTCTTGACACCAAGTGAAGTTAATTTACTTGGCATCTATGTACTCAGGAGGGGATTTGAGAGACTCTAAACAATTCTTCACAGTTACATCGATGTAATCAACACCACTGAAACAACAATCTCAGAGACGATCACCACTTGATAAACATCGTACCTACTATGTTGGCATGCTCTTGAATGTACAACTTGTTCTTTGAGAGGCCACCACAGGCCAACAACGTATCAATCTGCCAGGAAAAATGCAATAACATGAGCATAAGACTCCTCAAAAAAAAGTTTCAGTTATTCACATCCACTTTCATACTTTTACATTCAGAAGATGGCTATACAATCAGAAGAGTTGATCAAAAACACGTGAATGAAAGCAGGCTGCGCAAATGCATAGATGATGCTATCATTTCGATCGAAAAAACTACCTTAAGCCCATGAGCATTGCAATGTTCCACTAAATGTTTTGTCCCATAAGCGATACTTTGAACTGTTGCCAAATAAAGGAGAGCAAGATCCTCTGGACTAGCATCCAAAGATAAGCCGCTTACAACTCCCCTTGATTTTGGGTCTGCCAGTGGGGATCTGTACACACCAACAATCAGGATTCCAAACATTGTTTTCCGAAAACTACTAGTTTCATTTACTGTTAAGTAATATGGAAAAGATTAAAAAGATTGAAGCAAAAGAAGAGATGATTCACACCTGTTTCCATTGAAATCAGGTAACACATGAATGTCTTTTGTCAAGGCACTTTGAAATGGCAGATTTTTTTCAGCTGCAAGGTCCTCCAATATACCATTCAACGCATCGTAGATTGACAGTTCTGTCCCGAAGCAGTCCATCCATAAACAATGAGATGATTGTTACCAGTAATTCCAGAAAGGATGCTGGAGAACAATTGCAACTGACGTACTCAACAGAAGAACGACCACCCCCCTCGGGAGAGTCTGCATTTAAGAAGCAAATGCAAGGGTAGAGCTATGAAGTCATTGGGACTGGTTTAAAGATAAATCTCACTCTGGTGAGCAGCTCGATTGGCAAGGGCAGGAGCAGCAGGATGGGTCTCAACAATGTGATCCAGAAGCGCCCCAGTCGCACTCTGACCTCCTTCCGTAAGCCACAACTCAGGAACCATAGCTGTATTCATCCAGATCGTCAGCAATGTAAAATACAAAGACATACTTTCATTAACTCTGCGCCTCTAAAAAGTCCAGAAGCCGAATGAAATCCGAGGGATGTCCAGAATCCTACAAAAATATAATTCTAATGAAGACAGGTGTGTAAAAGCTGTATGTAGGGAATTCCGAACTCTCTAGGGGGTTAATAAAACAAATACCTGACCAGAAGGGACCCCAGACACCAGGGATAAAATGTCTCTCATGTGAAACAACCATGTGGCATGTTGATGTCCCGCAAACCAGAACCATTCTTTGACACAAAGCATCAGTACCATCACTAGCACCTGCAAATTAATATTTAAGTAGGACCTCAGTAGCCATACGAGCCTCCACATTGTTAGAGTCCAGTCCAAGGTGATGCATAAACCTCTGCCTATACAAAGGCTGGACATTAAATTGATCGTCCAAAAATGCTTTCTTACTCAGCACAATACTTGGTTAACTCATGATAGAGAAGTGTGTTTCAATTCTTTTAGACCAAGATGGTTGTGATATACTTTTATGTCTAGTTTTTAATGAAAATTGATTATTCATACTTCCAAAACTCGCAGGTCTCTCTACATACAATACTTAGTAGAACTTACTTCTAAGTATGATTTTGCACATGCATAGATGCAGAGTACTTCTCAAATTTCCCATCATAAATCGAGAGTGCATACTATTATCTACTAACTAGCTAGATTCGTAAGAATATTCACCCGATACTGCTCCAGGGCTCCTTGGGATGCTCTCAAGAGTTCCAATACCACCTGCATGAGCATCGATTAAGGATGTCGCAACTGGTGTTCCCTCCTTCAAACCAAGTTCCTACAAGACACAGTATATGTTAGGCAGTTCTTTTGGTTATGGACATACCAAAAGAACGTGATTATTTGCTTATGGAGCTTGCAAGGGTATCATTGCCTTACTCAACTCTTACCTGGGCGGCCAAATGAGAGAGGCCAAGTCCAAGCGGGTGACCAGGAAAAGCCACGTTCCTTCCTAAAAGGCATGCAAGCTCACAAGTCAGACTACCAAGATAACCCAACACAGACAAGGATTACAACACAAATTCACAACTTCATGAAACCAGATTGCTGTGTGTAATGCAAATTATAAATGATCTAATATGTTGATTATAAAATTGTGCCACCAATAAGCATGTCAGGGGAAAATATAAGAGAAAAGCAAGGAAAAAATAGCAGTACCTATTGTGGAGTACCCCGATTCAACAAGGTCACCAAGGCCAATCTCTTGCCAGAAAAGATCGTCCCATCCACTAGCTTTCATTGCCACTGAGTCCTTACTTGACATCTGTTCTAGATGTGCATGCCCCAAGTAGGTCCATTTGCATACTGTTGTACACAGACTTCGAGTATCGTCGCCAGTTGCCCTGTAACAAACCCCTTTTGTTTTATGAACGCTACCTTTTCATGTTTCAAGTACTCTTTGTGATGCACAGGAAGCGATGCAAAGACACTCTGCCACATAATTAGGAAATGAGTACTGTCAAACTGTTGTAAATTTTACTTCAGCACACATTAATTTCATGTTTAATTCCGTATGAACTAACTGAAATAAAAATTGAGTTATATTATTTTACATTATGACAATATAAAATACATAACGACATGGACATGGCTTCACAGATAACGAGATGGACATTCGAAAAGAGAACTCAAAAGTCTTGTTTTAAAACCTAAAAGTCAGCCAGTCGCTCAAATCCATCCAACGAAATGCTATGGCCCAGGATTCTTCTAGATTCTCTTTGACCCAGAGTAGCTGCAAGTCAACAAGAATTCAAATTAACTGAACGATAACTTCGTGCCAACATTCCAGCAGAATCTCAAAAAGTGTTGCATTGAGCCAGCCAAAAGGCAAGAAATGTAATGCGGAATTCTCAAAGCCATCTATTTTAACTTTCGCTGCAATTACGTGGAGGGTACCAACGACCACTTCTAAGAAGCAGCTTCAATTGTAGAATAGACCGAGTCAGTTGCAGCTCAACATTCAGCTAAGTGATCACGTTTGCCTAGAATAATGTATTGTGAAATTTGCAAAGGGTTGTTACCTTGGGTGCCTGATGTTCGGGAGACAGAGAACCACCTGCAAACTGCAAAACTGGAGACTTAGAGGCATTAATACGCTCTGCCTGCTCTTCCGCTCTATGGTCCATCCACACGATCACATTACGCCTTGCATCACCCGTCTTTGAAACTGATACAGGCGAATCGTCGGTGCCTATCGCCACTGTATGGAATTCACGACAAGGTTTTAGTGAAAGAAAGCAGACCGATACTCAAAACCTCTAACCTCAATGTTCGGAATTTCCAACACTGGAGAGTGTTTGTAACAGAAAACGAGCGCTAATCTAAACTGCATACATTAAAAAAGAGAAAAAAATAAACAGAACAAATCAAAATCAAAACTATTGGCACCAGTTTGAAACATGCTGAGGTCAAAACAATGATGCTTTTAAGACTTGCTAAAAAGAGCACACCGCGGATCCTCATCACATTACACTGCAATCCCATGCAGCTGGATGTCACATGCCCCTTGCAATACAATCCAACGTCGTTGGGCAATTCTGGTAAGCACGAACTTACCAAGGGAACAAGTAGCTGAAAATCCAATGCCACAAATGTCATAATCGTTAAGACGATACTTTGCGCATACTGACTTTACTGCGGTGCAGATAGCTAGCCAGATGTCCGTGGAGGACTGCTCGACGAATTTCCCATCCTTCCAAATTTGAATAGGGCTGTTTGCAGTCCCCACTAATTTCCCCTCTCCATCAAACACCCCTGCAGGTACTATCATATGTCGTTACACTCTGGGAGTTGATTACTAAAGAACTATTGCCAAAAGCAGACACAGCTATGATACAATATCTTGCCGAACGGCCCTGTTCGACGTGCATGTATCATCGTTGCGTGGAAAGTAACTGTCGCCTTCAAGCAGTGCAATCTGCGGCACCACAGTTTAGGTACTAAGATCGATCTGAATGCATTCTGACCATTTCAACACACAGAAACAGCAAAATAGAACACACATTGCGGATGTCAAAGAAATCGATCATGTTAAAGGGTAATACGCATCTATTTCAACAAAGATCAGCACAGCGACTTCATTTCAAAAGGCTACTAGAACACACTATTAACCATGAAGGATCTTGGCAGTTCGATCCAAAGCCATTCACAAATTCACCTAGTTTAAGAAGACAAGTTACGTGAACTGTTCAACTGTTCAACTACCGATTGAAACTTAATTGCAGCTCACAACTTGTCTCAGCGATTATGTTGCACCAGTTCATACAAGGCCAATACACATGCCAACAATTATGAACCACTGCTTCCAGCAAAGAACACTTTGAGCTCACAATATTTTAGGTTTTAACTTTACTACTTATACCGCAATGAACCTAGCTGCAAAATGTGCCAAATAACTCCAAATTGAAGGACGGTCACTACAGCTCACGATTCTAGACCAATACTAAATCCTACAAGACCGATCCGAAGACGAAAATACATGTGCCAACAAGGAACCGTAAATTTTCAAATAGCTACCTTCTAAACATTCCAGAAAATCTCACAAGTCACCAATTCAGCGTCCTAACACTCCAAATAGACGACTCCTCAGCCACCATTGCAATGCATCTGACTAGGAATCCCACAACCCAAGCTCAAAAACCTCAGCACTGAACCATAATATTTTCCCACCGAATTACTACTCGCCTAAACCAACTCTCAAAAACAACAGTCCTCCCATTCTCCCAAATTCAACTAAAAACAAACCCACCCACATCATCACAACTTAAAGATATAACCCAACTAATCCCCGCACACTCTCCAAAAACCCAAATCAATGTCGAGGTCTTTTATCCGAAATTCCGAATCGCCAACCTGCTCGAGCGCTGCCAGTGCCCACATCCACGCCGAGAAAGAGCTGCCGCCCATCGCTAACGTTGTGCAACGTGGTGCGATCGTACTTGGGTTGCCGGATGGACGAGGAGTTCCTCAGAAACGGCGAGGATTCCATCATCTTCGCGAAACCTAGTTGAGCAGTTCCTGCACGGCTTGGTAACAGATTGCAACACAATCGTGCAAAATTTGGGCGAGCAGCGGGAGATTCTGATCGAGTCTCGAGGGAGGGACAAGTGATAGCCCGTGCACAAGAAAAGAGCTGCTGCTGTAACAAAGCCAACAACGCACCCCCGAAGTCTCATCCATCCGTACAACGAATGATTTCTGAGGTCCTCACACTCTGGGACAGATGGATGACATTTCAGTTTTTTTGCTCATTCATGTTCGGAGTATACTGGACCCGTTCTCAGACGCGGGTATAAGTTAAGCGACCCGGGTATAGGGCCCAAGTTCTCATATATGGGTACAAGCTTCGCGAATCCGGGTATACTGGTCACGTTCTCAGGTTGGGCATACGTTTCGCGAACCCAGGTATATGGTTCTGACGCGGGCTTCAATCGATGATATGGGTACAAGCTTCGCAAACCCGGGTATATTGTTGTGACGCAGGCTTCAATCGATGTGATCAAGTTTGGGGACAGGTATCTGGTCAGGGGGTATCAATTGATTCAATACCGGGTAGAGTGGTTGGCTTGTCTTGGGACGTTTGTTAGTGTCGAAGCCTTGAGAAATATTCTTTTTGCATTTTTAAAGAGTTTTAATAGTGGCCTAAATAGTATTTAAGTGATAATAATAATAATAATAATAATAAAACTGATTTAAGAGATTGGGTTGATACAATAAACGTCACTTGTAAATTTAAAATGGTGTCATGTTAAATTTTACAAGTTAAACAACTTATGTCATTTCATGTGAGACTTCAATATTTTGGTTGAAGAATATTTTGGTTGAAGATTTCAATATTAAATCGGTTAAATTATTTTTGTTTTTCTTCTTCAAAAAAATCATTGGTGAAGTTGAAAAAGTGAGAGAATACGAAAGTTGCTCAACTTCACCAATGATTTTTTTGAAGAAGAAAAACAAAAATAATTTAACCGATTTGATGATTTTTTCAAAATGAATATAATTATCTCAATGAGGAATCAAGCAACGTATTTGTAGAAATGATATTGGTAATAAAGGTGTAAAAAGAATTGTTTCTATTATCTTAAGAATATTAAGAATTATTTCATGTTGATTTTATTAAACCAAATAACTGTTTTTAATAATCATCTTTTCCTTTTATTATTATTGAAGTAAATAGTTTTCTGAAATGAACTCAATTTAATATTTTCTCAATTACTCTGTAATTCATGTAAACTCATTTTGTTTTTTATTCATAAAATAATAACTCATGTTATACAATGTTTTATACATGGTACTTATTTTATTATAAAAGATCTTGAATCCTTTTTGATATTGCATATAATGAAGTATTTATTTGAATAAAAATAAATAAAATCCAAAATTTTATCTTATTTCTTTATAGCAAAGAATTTTTGAAGAATCATAAAATACCAGCTTTTAACAAATATATATATATATATATATATATATATATTATCATGTGCATGTGAAAGAATAAAACCAGTGCATAAAATTTAGAGCCAGAACACAATTTGTGAATGCTTTAGCAGGATCAAAAGCAGAAAATAAATATATGATTTAAAGTCCCACTACAAACTAGTGAAACAGAACTAATCATAGAGAAGGTGTTAAATTTCAATATATATTAGTACCTTATACACAAATAATTAGTATGATAGGTATCTTAAAAGTTTGACATTTTTGTTGATGCAACAATTCGTATAAGATTACAGTTAGACTTCCATGTCTTCCATAAAGCCCATTTCATCAATTAATTGCATCCGAAATATCATTAATTTGTATGAAATACGTATTTTATTTTTAAGACCATGTGAATGTGTTTGAAAATAAAAATAGTATTGTTGCATGTGATTTCACACTATATGAGTTTACATGCAACAATTCACTTCATAATGAGATTTTAAAAATTATTTGCACCCCACATTCATCAACATGAATAATAATAATAATAACTAGCATGATAATAAAGTAACAAGTATTTTACATGCTATGCTAGTCAGCATCTTTCACTACCTGTGTATTCACATTTTTTTCTTTTTTCTTACAGGCAATTATGCTAATTCTAGTTTCAAATTTTGAATCTTGTTTTATAGCATAGGTATTTCTTAGAATGATTTCATCAATGTGATATGATATATTATGTATACATATTCTTGTAAGATGAAAATATTGCCCTTTAGCAATCAAACATTAGACATCTTAACATGTAAAATACAATTATTTAAATAGATTGCATATAATGCAATTGCTGAACACAATGGTATTCAGCCAACATAGAATTTTTCAAAGATCATTTCAGCAACATTTCTTACTACACTCTAAGCAATTTTTTGATACTTTTTCCCTCCCATTTCCACACTCAAAATTTGGACAATCCCACTTAAAAAATTCAAGTCAAATCATCTCTTATCACCTTTTCAAATGGTTCTTTTTCAAGCCAAGAGAATCCGCCATCATTTTGACTAAACAAAACCCTTTCAAAACAAAAGATTGCAAGGTCAATTTTTTGTTCAAACAACGAGATAGTAATTGGAAAAAATCACCGTTTGAAGTGAGAGAATCCTTTCGTTTAAATTCATTTTGTGATCAAAATTTTATTCGACCTAATTTGGAAGTGAACCAAGATGATGATCGTGATGATAACACAAATCAAAACCACTACAAACTCAATGAACTAGTTTGTAGAAAACAATATTCTAAATACAATCTATTGTGTGCAAGCGAGGAATTACTCAAGATGAATAAATTTAATGTGCATGCATTAATTAATAGATATGGGTACAAAGATTTAAGCTTTAGAATCAAAGCAAACAAAACATTTCAAATCCATTATTATGGTTATTGCACAAGAGTTGAACCAAAAGACGATCAAACAAATGTACAAGGAAATAAGGATGAAGATGCTAAAAAGGGTATTGAAAAATCAAGAGATATTACAAGAGCGAAAAAACCCTCAAGTGATGATGCAATACAAGCTGCAGCACAACTTGAAAGTTTAAAAGCCCAAGTGAAAAAAATCCATGAAGAAATGCAAGTAAGGAAACTTGAGAGTTGGCCACAAAAAATTTCTAAACTAGCAAGCAACATTGGACATATTTTGTACAAAATTGGTCCTACCACAAAAAGACTTTTATCTATGAATAAGTGAGTTGAGAAAAAAATCCATAATCTATCATATTTCAATTCATAAAATTCATATATATATATATATATATATATATATATCATTTTTTTATTTTTTTTCTTCTTCTTCTTCTTCTTCTTCTAAATAATGATGTTTTTGTTGCTATTTTTTTCTAAAATTATTGGAATAGAGAAGATTGGAATACAAAAATTGGTGGATGGAAAAGAATTATTAAGCTTGAGTTGCAACATTATTGGATTGGTGGAAAGCTTTTATGGGCCGATTTGAAAATATCGGCTCGGTTACTTTATAGATTGGCCGGAGGAAGAAAATTGAGTAGAAGGGAGAGGGCTCAATTAAAGCGCACTATAGCCGATATTTTCCGGCTAGTTCCATTTATGGTCATTGTTATAGTACCCTTCATGGAACTTTTGCTGCCTTTTTTATTAAAAATATTTCCCACTATGCTTCCTTCCACATTCCGAGACAAAAACAAAGAGCAAGTAATGAGATTTTCAAGTTTTTTATTAATTTTATTTTTCATTCTTATTTTTATTTTTTACTTAAGTGCACTATTTTGAAGAGATAATATTCTTTTACTATACCTAATTTGTACATGTATTATGAACATGAGGAGCTTTTTTATTTTTTTTATTTTATGTTTTAGCACTATTTCTTTTAATTTTTTTAGTGTGTGATTTTTGTGAGGTAAAGGAAAATGCAAACACAAAATTAGTTGCTCAAGTGCAATATGCAAAATTTCTCAAAGAAACTGTTCAAGAAATGGCCCAAGAATTGAAAAAATCTCCAAGTGAAGAGCTTCGGCGCAATGCAAGTGAATTAGAAAGTTTCATGAACAAGGTGGATTGTACATGTGTTATAGTTTATCATTTTATTTTAACATTTTTTCGTACAAAAGAACATTTAAAACTATGTAAAAAAATTTTCTGATAGAAAAAATAGAAATAAAACTTAACAAATACCACATGTCTGATGGTATATAAACTTAAGTGGAAACATGTTAATATTAATTTTTATGTGTCCCATGTACTTTTAGGTTCATAAAGGAGGAGATGTGTCAAACAAAGAAATAATTGCATTTGCTAAGCTCTTCAAAGATGAATTAACACTTGACAACATTAGTAGGTATGCAAAAACAAATAACAAATAATAATAATAATAATAATAATAAATCATATTCTATATTGGAAAATTGGCAATTAGCAACATAATGTCACCTTTAAATAAACGATTAAAATTTAAAATTTCATGTAATGGTGGAAATACAGGCCACGTCTTCTTAGCATGTGCAAATATATTAATATTCAACCATATGGCACCAATGCCTATTTGCGCTTTAGCCTCCGCAATAAACTTCTTGAGTAATGTTCATCTTATCCAATTTTCAAACAAAATTCTCCATTCGCTTTTTCATGCTACCACCAAAACTCATCAAAATAGAAGTACACATTTTCTTTTATTCTTTTATTATTCTTATAGATGTGTATTATTGCTATTATTATTACTATTATTACTGCTATTGTTTTAATTTTTGTTGTTTATAGTGTAACCACATGAAGCAGAATTAAAAAGGATGATGAGGCAATTGAGAAAGAAGGGATTGATTCACTCTCAGAAGCAGAGTTAAGATTAGCCTGCAGAGATAGAGGAATGCTGGGTATTCAATCCATTGACAACATGCATACCCAGGTAAGGTTTGAAATGAATATTAAACTTTGAAAACACACATACACACACACACACACACACATATATATATATATATATATATATATACACACACACACATATACTCAAAAAATTATAAATTCAACTCCCCATGTAATTTAGGAATGAAAGAATATACAAATATACGATTTTTTCCAAAATAACAAATAGTTATTAAATTTGTGGGTTCATGATTCTTTTATATTTATTTATATTTTTTATATATGATATGCAAACAACCCATATTTGGTTCATTTGTATCATTCCAACAAGGATTGGTTTCAATTAATAATGGTGGTAAGGAAGGCAGCTGCGGGATTGGCTGGAGTTGTCTCTCACTCATGAAGTCCCTTCTTCTCTCCTTATTCTCTCGAGGTGACCATCTCTTCTTCCTCTTTACAAATTGTATTTTATCAATAATACAAGTTAGAACAATTACACAAGTTCTCTCTCTCTCTCTTGCATTATATATATATATATATATATAATGCATGTAATTGTTCTAACTTGTATTATACTGTATGTATATATATATATATATATGATCCCAAAACCAGCTAAGGTATTTGCTTGGGTTTTTATTTGTTGTTTTGTTGTTTATTTTTTATTATTATTTATTTATTGTGGTGTGTTGTGTTGTGTTGTGTTGTGAAGGGCTTTTTTGGTGGTGGGGAAGATTAGTTCATTGGGTGCAATGGAAGCCACATTGTCATCTCTTCCAGATAATGTCATTGCCTCGGTGGATGTATCAACTAAAGCAACAGAGCTTGAGTTGGAAGAACATAAGAAGAAACTAGAAATCTTACAACAACAAGAAGAGCTCATCAAGGTAGTCTTTCTTTTCTTTTCTTTTCTTTTAATGTTAGTGTTATGATTCTTTTATTTGAATTTTTTTTTCTTCTTTCATATTCATTCATACATTTATCAAAATTACTTTTCAAAAAAATTAGGTTTTATGTTTCAATTTGTTTTCTTTTTCATTGGAAAGGTTTTTTTTTTTTTTTTTTTTTTTTTTTTTTTCTTTTTCTTTTTGAAAGTTTGAATATTCGAAGCTATTGTTTAATTATTAAGTTTTATTGCTAATTCATGTAATTCATGTCTTTCATTTTTGTAGTTCATGATAAATAATATTTTTTAAATCATAAAAAACACATTATTTTTTTTTGTGTATTTGATGTCATTATATATATATATATATATATGTATAGAAAAAAATGTGATTTGATTTGATTTGATATGACATCAAATATACAAGCAAAGGGTTCCAAGTTCTGATGTTGTTTTATTATATATCAGAAAGAAAAATGAAGAACATGGAAGGAAAAATCAATCGCAAAAGCCCAAGTTTTAAAATTTGACTAATTGTAACCTTGTAGAACAACTTATAAGAATTAATTAACTTTTCCAACAGGTAAAACTCCTTGTATTCTTAATATTGATAACTTAGAACATTTAGAACATTTTTTAAGGGTGAGCATGTACATATCATGATTTTGAAACAAAATTTTGTGTTGTGTATAGATAACTTAACAAAGGTCATGACACATCAAGTTTGAGGCTGAAATTGCATAACTTACGTCAAACAAGTTTCAGTCTCTATACAAAAGTAAGTTCTCTAAAGATTATTGTATGTGGTACAACATTCATTACCATGTGTTGAATAAAATCGTACTCGTTTTTGAAAACCAATTTATGAATTAAAAAATAAAAAATGAAAAATGAAGGTAAGGTAAAAACAGTTGAACAGTGACAAAAGCAGGAAGGATGAAAAAAGCATGTGAATCCTCAACCTCAAAGTAAAGAAAAAGACCCAAGAAGCATGTTTCATTTGATTAAAATTTCACAATTTTCTTTTAAAATGAAGTCCCCTTAGGCCATTGAAACAAGGACAATTTACTTGAAGCAAAATAGAAAGTATAGTCATCTTTTGTTTCAAATTTTTGTGTTAAGTTTGAATTAATATTCAGATGCATTTGTGGTGGCACTTTTTAGTCCACTTCTATTCATTAGCTTCACACCACTCCACTTCATGGTCATCACAGCTTTACTTTTGTTAATTAGTTAGTTCATTTGTTTATTGTTTCTCTTTTAGATGCACTTTAGATCTCAAATTTTACTTTCTGTTTTATAATACTCTTTAAATACAAATGTTTCCTTTCCGCATTACACACACACACACAGTATATATATATATATATATATATATATATAATAGAAAAATAATTCATAATACAAATAATAATAGATTTTCAGTTTTCAGTTTTCAGTTTTCAGTTTTTTTTTTTTTTTTTTTTTTTTTTTTTCCTCTCATCCTGTGAAAACAAATTCAAAACTGATTATCAAATCAGATTTAAGAAAACTAGTTAAATTGTAAGGGTGATTAGAAATATTATTATTATTATTATTATTATAACAGCAAAGGTAATAGTATTTGCATCACTTCATTATTTGGTCTGTGACTTTTCTTTTTGTTTTTAAACATGTAGTTGAAAAGTCCATTTAATTCAAAACGCTCAAGTTGTAAGAAGCATGGAATAGAAACCAAAGTTGACACAAATTTTTATTAAGAAGAACCAAAAATTCTGTGTGTTAAAATAAGACTCGTTTATTTTTTAATAGTATAACGTTAAGCTCAGCCTTGCTAATCTTGTCCCTATCTTAACGAGCTTGTATCTGTTCTAGTAAAATAAATCTTATAAAAAACATCACGTCATTTATTTTATTTATTTATTTGTTAAAAATCATATCCAAATTATTTATTTTCAAAATTATAAGATCATGTACTGCAAAAATCTCACTATTACATAAAATCATTGTAATAAAATTATTGAATACATCTCGTTAATTAATAAACACACAAACAATTCTTTATTCAAAAAGTTGATAACAACATTCTTGTTTTGTTAGTGAAGTGTACTTCAATGCAAATTAAATTATAAAATTCAAGTATAGAAATAAAGTCAAGAAAGGTTTTTATTTCAACCAGTACTATTAAATTTTTCTATTTTATTTTATTTTATTGGAAGCTAAAAACACATGTAACTTTATGTTATTTCTATTTTATCCTTTTCATCACACACAAAACAAAAAACAAAAAATAAAAATCAACAACTATAATATGACCTATTTTCACTATAGCCTTTGCAAGCATAACAAAAATGAACTATGCATCAAATACTTGTCCAACTTATTCATCTCAATTCATACACAAAATGACCAAATGGGTGTATAAACAACATTGAGCCCAACTCACTTCATGAATGCACATGAACCAACAAAATGGGAAACTCCACAACCCTAGACACCATGAAGACCGAAGGCTTCCTCGAAACTTCGAATAGGAATGGTGGGCGGCTACGATGCAATCGATGGATGCGGGATCGGACGGTCGAGATTGGGCTAAACCCTGCGAAGGCAGGAGGGCGTTTCCGAAACCCTAAAACGTCCTCACAGTCCCGAAGTAGTTTCTCTCTCTCACTCTTTGTTGCTGCGCCGTGAAAGATCCTGAGCTCCTTCAAGTTCGTCGTCGTCGTCGTCGTCGTCGTCGTCGGAGAGCGTCTCCTGCCCTTCGCCACCCCTCCGCAATGACGGCCCAGTCCGCCGAGGAACTCGCCACCGAGCTCGAGCAACAGAAGCTTCACGTACGCTCTGGGCCTTGATTTGTGTCCTGTGAAACCGTGGCTTCCTTCTCTGTGAAACATAGCTCTCGGCTGGTTGGAGTATTTCTTCCTGAAATGTATAAAATTTTAGGCGTGTTTCCTATTTTTCAGTGATAAGGTTTATGTGAGCTTGTGTCAGCCTCAGCGGATTTTTGCTTGGGCTTTTCATTGGGATTTGGTCTGTGTCGGCGTATGGTTATTGTGCTCAGTTGAGCTTTCATCAATTTTCGTGATGGAACCGGTAGTGTTGAGCTTAAGAGTTGAGAGGCTGATGATTGCTCGGTAAAGCTTTGTTTAGAGTTCGCTACATCTTTGGTGTTGGATAAGATTGCGCTGTCATGCCAGAAACCTTGAATCTCTACTGGCATTGTACATAGACGAGAACCAACCATGCATTCACGTGCATGCCCTTCTCCGTGTTTCCTTTTATTAAGGGAGTATGGATTGAACCTCGGTCCCCAACTTTTAGGTTCGTCAGAGAAGCGAGTGGCATGAGGCCCAGATTCAAAGTAGGTTGTGGCGCGGCGGGGTTTTGTAGTGTTGAATTCTGAAAATTATATCCGAATATGCATACATCATTTTCAATCGTAATTTGCATTTTACGATTGAATTATCGGAAATTGGTGGTTACCAGTTAAGATATAGCGTGGTCACACTCAATTGGACGTGTCGACGGATGTCACATTGAGCATGTGGAGTTGGCTTGGTGCCAATCATCAATGAGGAATAAAGTCAACGTACCAGCTAGTGGGACTGTACATACTCTGTAACATGTGTCGCTCTTAGGTTGTTAGTTATTAGTTAGTGGCTGCATAAACAAGTTTTCTCCATTAGGTCTGTAGTCCGTGTTTATTCGAGTGTTTTCATGATATGTACCAGTCTGAATCCTCAGAATATACAATCATTATTTATAATCGCTTACAACGAACAAGACTATGCAATTTCAATTTTTGAGGTAAGTGTGTTGACACCTTGACATAACTTATCCATACAGTCGGATGACCCCATCATTGAAGACGGGAAGGATGATGATGACGAAGATGAGGATGAGGACGAAGATGATGAAGTTGCTGACGGAGAGGATGGTCTTACTGAAGGAGGAAAGTCAAAGCAGAGTCGTGGTGAGAAGAAGAGCAGGAAGGCCATGCAAAAGCTGGGTATGAAGCCTGTGACTGGTGTCACAAGGGTGACAATCAAGAAAAGCAAGAATGTATATTCTGACAGTCCTTTATCATCTGTTTATTTCTTTTTTACCTCGTGAACCTTGCTTCTCGCATCGTGGATGTTGTCTGGAATATATTTTTGCGTACTTTCCCAAGGATTTTGCACGACCGGAATTTATAACCTCGTTTGTGTCGCTGAGGTTTGTTCTGTTCCCACATCGTTTAGGGTGAAAACATGAAGTCGTAGGGTTAGTGGAGGGTCTCTTTCAATCTCTTTCTTTTGAGTTTTAGTGCTCAGTCTTGAGACGCCTAGTTTTTAACTTCAATTCTGCTTGAATTGTGCAATAATAGTTTGAGTTATCCAGCAATAGATTTTCACCTGTGGCTTATGCTTTCTTTTGTTTTGGAATTCGCAGATTCTTTTTGTGATCTCTAAGCCCGATGTATTCAAGAGCCCTGCCTCTGACACCCATATCATCTTTGGAGAGGCCAAGATCGAGGATTTGAGTTCGCAGCTGCAGAGCCAAGCAGCTGAGCAGTTCAAGGTACCAGAGGTGGCAAACGTAGAATCTAAGGTTGACCCCTCTTCTGTCGTCGGGGCTGAAGATGATGGTGAGGTAGATGAGGCAGGTGTGGAGCCTAAGGACATTGAGTTGGTAATGACACAAGCAGGAGTTTCTCGTGCGAAGGCTGTCCGGGCCCTTAAGGCAACAGATGGAGATATTGTTAGTGCCATCATGAACCTTACAAGTTAAGGGTAGGACTGCTGAAGAGCATGCATGCAGTTTTGCATCTTTTTGCACTATGGAAATGCTTTTATAATGACAAAAATTCTACTTCCCCATCTGTTGGATTCAGCCCTGTTACTCTTGCTCTTTTCACGTGCGCCTACCTAGCAATAACGGTTTGTTAGTGATTGACATTTTAGATTTTGTCATCAAAGAATCTTGTCATTTTCCAATTCATTTATTTTTATTTTTTCATGATTATGTCCAGAGGTAAAATAATAGTTAAATGTTCATGAATTTAAATGTAACAGATTGGCTCTGGAAGAATAAGATGAGCTTTTAATTTGTTGTCAATCAGAGCAGCGATCAACAATCACATATTTGTACGCTTTGCGATTGTTTTTGATTTTAATGACTTTATATCAACCACTTTGAACTTGGTTATGCATCAGTGTGAGTGTGATGGTTAATAAAATAAAAAATAAAATTGCTGTCAAATCGTATCTCAGATTTAAGGTTCTGTGACTTCAACTAACTTGTAATCTACAATAGTAACATGTTTATTTCACATCTTATTTTAATTATAGATAGAATTCCTACCAGTATTTTAATTCCAATAGTTTGTGTACAAGTTTAAATTGATTAATGATGTTCTTTGATTGCAATTTATTTGGATAAGAAGAACCATTTTTTAAATTTTTTATTTGCTTTCTGGTATATTCTTTGTAAAACAAAATTGTAGTCTATAATTTTTAGTATAATTGTCTTCTTTTAGGTTTTTATTTGTTTATTTATTTATGAATAATCTATAATATAATTTTTACAATAAGAATAGAAATTAAATTAATAATGTTGAGATTCTATGTATAAAAAAATAAAGAATAATAATAATTATAAGAAATACCAAGTATTTAAAACTCAAGAAGTGCACATACAATAATGTGCAACTAGATAGTACCTCATGTCTACTACTTTTTATTTACATGTAATTCAACTTATAGATATAGATAGAATTCATCCATGAATGGTCCTTTCAACCATTGGATGGTTTTTAATTTATATTTCTAATATTCAAAATACAAATAATCTACTTACTATATAATAATATCTCTCTAATCCATTGGATGTCTTTCAATTTACTTTTATACATTTTAAGAGCTAACAATCTTATTTACTACAATAAACCAAATTAACACTTGATTTGTTTACCTTTATTTCTAATTACTTTTTGACTACTAAACAATCTATTACAACATAAATTTGAGGTTGTATTTAAATTGGTACTTATTTATTATTAATTTTTATTTAAACATTATATGAGCAATAAATAAAAAATGTTTAATTTGAAGAATGGTAATTAGAGAATATTATATTATACATTATAAGTTTGATATTAATTATAAATGCTTATATGTATTATCTTTTAAGATTTAAGATAGTAATAAGTATTTAATTACTTACATTTTATATTACAATAAGACGTTATATTATTTATCAATATCACTTAATTCTTTAAAGTGTGAATATACCAAAAACTAAGAAAATTTTCATGCATATAAACAAGTATGTTTTACCTTAATTTTTTAATTTATTTCTTTTATAGATACCTTTTAAAAGCATTTGATATTTAATATGGATATGCTAAATTATATAATATATTATTGTTATATACAACAAAATACATCAAAAATAAAATAAAATGGATTTATTGATTTATTTTTAAAGTCCAATTAACTCAAACATGATAAGTATAACAATGTCAATTTGTAAAAACCTTATATGACAAGAAATATAAGTATATAAGATTACTCATAAAAATTACTTACTATCTTTGTATAAAAGAATATAAAATAAGTCTATAAGATTAGAAATACATCAAATATTATGATTGTATCCATTCTTATGAAAATAAATTTTATGCTCAATTCAAAATATAAGATAGCAATACTTAAGAATTTCTTATTTAGAAATAAGTTTGAACAAAGAAAAAACAAAAAAACAAGAAAAATGTAACAACCAAAAGAATTGCACACTTAAAATTAAGTATATTTTATTTATTGCCACTTTTATAGGCCAATCAAAATTTACATCAAGATTTCTTTAATTATAAGAGTAAGGATTTGATCCTCATCAAGACTTACAAGCAATATAAAGAGGGAGACTAGTCTAATCTTCTTACTTATGTCTTCAGTCCTACAATCTCTAGGGTTCTCTACAAAGTGATAAGAAAGTTTTTAATATGCAAGAACAACCAATTATTTATTTTTTAAGGTTAATATATTATGAAATTATTTGACTATTACATAATTATCACAATATGCTTTATATAATCATTATAAATATGTAATAAGTGATGAAAATATATTTAATTTGCATAAAAATCCAATCATCTCTGTTTGTAAATACAACAAAAATAAATAAATAAAAGCACCCTTGCTTAAAAGTTTTTATTTTTTACATACAATGTAAGACACAACAAAATATGCCAATATATGTCTAAGCTTATCAAAATCCAATAATTTATATATAATTCTAATAGAAGCCATTATGTTCTAAATACATGTAGTATATATTGTTGCAAATATCAATTAGTTTTTGTATAAATTGACAACAAAATAAAATAGAATTGAATTGAAAGAAATTTTCTACATACTAAAAAATCTTTTTATAAATTTTAAAATCAAAATATTTTTATTGTATGGATATATATATATATATATATATATATATATATATGTATATATGTGTGTGTGTGTATATATATATATATATATAACAATCAATTAGTGATTCACAACTAACCATCTTCAAAATAATAACCCATATATATTCTACTTATGTGTTCACTTAGATATATACTAATTATATATTATATCTAATTTAAGGCCTTATTGAACACTGCTCTAATGTTCTTTTTTTACATCCTTCATCAATATGCTCATTACACAATTATACAAATTCATTGATTCTTTTGAATACACAACCCTTTTTAAGCCAAATATGTCTTGAAGATCTTTATCTTTGAAGAAATTTACTAGCCATTGATGAAATGTTCTTAACTTAGAGCCCTTCAATTCTAAAAGATTAATTTCTTGGCATAACATACCTTCTTTTTCCAATATATTTGGACTTGCTATTCTATACATACTCACTTTCATTAGCATGGTCATGGTCCTCAATCCCTAAATTATATATGGACAAGTTCCATGCAAAATTTCATTCTCCATACATAAAGCGATACCATTTTATCTCTTGATTGTATGTATCTTTTCTTTGTGTTCACACATCATATGCAATGCACTAATTTCAATTCTCATACCAAGCTAGTAATCAACCTTTCTTCCATACTTAAGTCACTTGTGGTAACATACACATATGCATGCACTTCATGTTGTTGTGTTTGACTTGAATGGTTAATTATTCTAGTAGTACTTTTTGAGATCTCTAACAATAATTTGCATTACATATCATTCAGCTTCTCATCTGTATACTTGTTAACCTTCTCCACAACTTCATTTGTCTTTTTACTTATCAACTCCATTATTTTTTTGTTTGATTCTCTAATTTCATTCAATACTATCTCCACCTTTGATTGTCCCATTTGATTGAATATACTTCTTGTGAATTCTTTGTTCTTAAAGCTATGAACCTTGTAAGTTGCTCCTTCATATAACATTTCTATTTGATTTAAGTTTGTACTATATTCAATCTTAGATATTTCATCTTGTTCTTCAAGCTTCAAAACCATTAATATAGTTTCCATATTTACATGGCATCTATTCATAATCTTTTCTTTCTACACTATATCACCTAACATGGTTACCACATTGTTTCTATGTTCATCATAAAAATCCCAAGGATTCTTGGGCCATTGGTGCATATAATTTTTAAATTCGGCCTTCAAAAATATTTTTTCAATTAATTTAGCTTCAATAATGGATATATTTTTTCTATCCTTGCACAATCAAAGCTCTTCTATGCATGTAGGTCTTATTGTGATTTTATACAGTATTACATCTTGACAACCAAATGTTGTTGAAGTACATAGTTTATGGATATCCTTGATTATCTCATCTTTCATGAATTAGAGAGTCTTTGTAAAATCTTTGGTGGATTGTACCATAACATAAATATAGCCATCAATATGACCAATGAGCATTACATAATTTATATTGCCACTATATTTTATTAGAATTTTATACTATTTTTAGTAAATTTTATCAAATTCTTCTTTATATAAAAATTATAATTCAAGCCAAATCTTCTCTCCAAAACCACATACCATACCAACATGTATAGAGGGTTTTAATATAAAAAGTGGTAATATAATTGCAAAATAATTATCTTCACAAAAGCTCAATTTATATATTTTAATTTGAAAAAAAGAAAAATATCATTCTATTGAATATTACAAAAGTTAGACATTTTACCTGTATACAAGGAAAAAAACCTTATGTAAAAAATATCCGCCTTCTATCTTCATATTCAAGGCAATGACCAATGTGAATTATAAATTGACATGGTGAAGTTGCTATTTTATTCTATATCAATTCATACTTGCCATCATATACAATATCCTTTTCATCTCTAAAGATTGCTAGAATGAATATTCTCCTAATATTTGCCTCTGCACCACAATATTCTTTGTAACATATATTCATCCTTATCATAATGCATATAACATCTTCAATTTCTTCACTAGACATCTCTTTTGGATTCTTCTTAAAGACATTCTTTCTTTCATTGAATGACTTTTAAAGCATTAATTTGAGACTTTCTCTCTCCACATATCCCTTTACATTTATAATAAGGTATCTTATTATTACATCTAAGCACTCATAATTTATGCTAAAAATAAATCCAATTACTTTCAAACCAAATTAATTTGGATCTATTACAATAACATCTTTCAAATCTATGAAGAAAATGATGCGCCCACTACTTCACATATATCATATATTTCTTTTGGAATTAAATGAAGAATCTCTAATTTTCTTGATTTAATTTGGAGATATATTTCAATGAACTCTTTCTTCTTTATGATGTATTTCAAAGAATTTGATTTTTTTAAAAGAAAATTCTTCCTCTATTTGAACACTTCCTTCATAAATTTTAGATGTTTATTTGAATCTTTGATGGTACATCACTCATAATACATTCTACTAATGGTTCAACCATTTTTATAACATTGCTGGTTATAAAATGTTCCATTAAAGAGAATTCAAAGGAATTTGAAAATATGCTCTTTACACTTACTAGCATTTCCTTCACATATTATTCAATGTTTGTACATTTTGGCAACCAATCAACATGAGTAAATACCATAGGCAAATGGGGCTTTTGTCCATGTTCCAAATTGAGAGTTTGAGTAATCCAAAGTGCAATGAAACCACTTCCACTTCTATGATTCTTTCTTCAATTCTTTTTGAAGTAATATTCATTCATTTTGACATATTATAAGAAAGATGTAAAAAAAATTATTTTGCACAAATGACTTTCTTCGTTTTTTAATATTTTTAAATAGTTATTTTTCTTGTAAGATGCAAATGATCAACTTTGTATTATTGAATTTTGATGTAAAAACAAATGCAACAAAGTTTAAGCAAGATATTATTTTATTTTCCTTATAATTCTTAGAACCTATTTAAATATAATATAAAAGGTCACTTAGAAATTGATGTTTGTTTTATTTCATACACAAGATTAGATATCATTCAACTTGAAATCTTCAAATAAATAATATTTTGTTGTGCACTTTAAGCTACATTTTACTTGCATGCACTTGTTATTTGAAAGTTATTATTTTCATATTTTTGGTAAAAAGGTTTTTAGATGATGATATTTTGTAATAATGATAAAATTCTAAAATCATGTACAATTTCAATTTACAGTTCTTGGCTTAAGATGCCACATGTAACAACTATTCACACAAATCATACGTCCATAATCGGATTTACATTCACATTGACTATATTACAAGTGTTCTACTTTACTTCATGAAATTATTACACACATTGATGACGTGCAATTTTTAACTCCAGTGTGAAGTAATAAAATATTAGAAATCTCACACTTATAATTGATAATTCATGTTTGATTGTAACTGAAAAGTTGATTACGAACACTGTTTGCCTACCAGTCCAGCATGTGTGAAGCATATTACCTGCTCTTGGGGCGCCGCACAGAAATAGCTTACATGACGACGCTTGAACATAGTTTCCAGCTTTGATTACACGCCTGTTTTTGTTTAATATTTCATCTACCTTTTCCTTCAATGCCGCTGCAAAGGGAATAATATCAACGTTTGTCACCCAATAGTTATGGATAATTAATTTTATCAACGGTACCGTCCATTCCTCTTGAAAAGATATCCAAAGCAAAGACAGTGGATGTTTAAAAATGTTATGGGTGATATATCTGTTATGCTTTAACGCGTTCAAAATAGGTAGATATTGTGGACTGAAGAAAATGGATATTACGCTGATAGTTGTATTTCTTTGCAACATTTCTCTGTACGAGTAAAAAAAATATATTTTACTTCCTCACTGGACGAAGAATAGAGTGTATCAAATAGAAGATGTAATCTTTTCATTGATTCCATTTTAAGGTAACCAGTCTCTGGATTTGGTGTTAGTGCAGGGAAAAGATATTTTTCGACGAAGAGCTCACAAACGAATTGCTCACAACTCCTTTTGTTGCTATAACTTCAGGATTGGAAATTTCATATAACTCAATATGAAGCTGTTGAAGCGTCTTTATCTCACATATTTGCTCACACAGAATATTTGCTCACATAGAATATCAGGGGACAAGTTCACATTATCCCCCGATAAACTAAAATCAGATAGAAAATATATTTTGATAGAAAATATTGGAAGTCCTCTTCCCAACACATCCACTATTACATCTTCCCAGGTGCTAGCAATTTCCTACAATACAAGTATATATATCTAGGTTGTTAGTACACATTTCTACCAACAAATATGTTTCAAAGTTTTTGTCATTGCATACATTGTGCCAACATTGCGATATTCATTTCTACATTCATTCATAACTATCAAGATCACAAATCATCTATACACTTTCCATTCTCATTATCTCACAATGTATTCAAGTAATTCTTACCGAGCTAAGAAAAGTTTCAAACGAAATGCCTATATATTCCAAAGTAGCACATTCTAGTAAACAAATCATGAGCACTTTCAAAATAGAAAACAAATCATTCCGCATGACCATATTCCTCATCATTCCTGTTATGATCAATCCAGTCAATAAAAATAACTAGAAGCTTCTGAAGGAAATCCGCACAAAATTCTTTGACAAGTCTAAGTCTCTCTTTCTCCCTGAGCTTATTCCTTTAGTGATGATTCATTTTTCCACAAGTACCTTATATAACTCCAAAAGAAAACTTATCCGGCCCTCACAAATAAAACACATATTTTTCATGATAGGACACCTCGACATCATCTCTATGCTCTTGTACCCAACCAGGCAAGCACAAACTGTCCTTTTTCACAAGCAAACACTTTATTTATGTAACGTTGCCTCGCTACAGGGCATCTTCACTTACCTGAAAACCTCAGGAAGACAACGTTGGACTCTTGATAGGACTAACATTGCGGAAACAAACTAGCGCTCTTGCTCTCTTTGCAATCCATCGAGTACATCTGACTCTGAGCTGAGGAGAATGAGCAGCCAATCCCAAACTCCCTTCAAGGTGAGTTACATTGAGCCCTAACTAGGGTCAGCATCTAAGGCCGCCATGACGCTCTCAACGTCGAGTTGTCTTACCAAATGGGACAACTTCAGTCGTCTCGCATTGTATCCTTCTTTGAAGAAATGCGTCGCAAGTTGTAGATTGTCTCTCCTCAACTCGAGGTCATCATTTGGAGCTACTCACTAGAATGGGCTGACGAGACCCTCTCCTCTCCACTCACTTCCTAGGACTATTTAATCACTTCGGTACTCAAGTGATCTAGAGTTAGGTCTTATGCACCACTTGGGCACCCAGTACCTGAGATATTTAAGAGGTTTCGTGACTTCCTTCACACCTCCACATAAAAGTCACCTTGAGTCTAGAAAGGTGGCCCTCCCAACCTCTCCTTTTGCCACCATGCTTTAAGCATCCATTGGGCGTTAGGTAGCTCTCAACTCTCATGCGATCTTTGCAAGTGCAAGGGTCTACCTCTTCAGACCCTTATACCCTCCTAGACTATGAGGAGGTCAATGTCCTCATTGATATAGTAGCTACCTTCTCAAAGGCATCTTCACTTGATAAATAGAATTCATTCTCTTTTCTCCTTGAATGCACTACAGATCCAAACAACGTGAGGGCTTTCTTCCTTGCATGGTCCATGTTTCACTTTTGAAACTTTGAGATCTTTATAATATAAATAATGAGATGGGATACTACCTCCTTCTCACGTTCATATGCATTTCGCCCTCAAGTTTCTACCAATTTCTCTTAACAAACAACTTAGAAAATCCGCATCTCTAATTGCGGGTCGCAAGAACTTGTGCTCTCGTGAGACTTATCTCGGCCGTTGAATCCTTTAACTGTTTAACTGAGACCTGCCTTGCCTCACTACTCTTCTTTACCTTATGGATTATGGAGAGATAATTTGCTGTCACTCAAAGAGAAACCCGTTTGAGAAAAGCCAACCGTTTAAGCATGGTTGCTTAGGGTCTTATATCCGCCTCATACAAGCTCCTTAAGAGATCCCCTTAGGCTAGAATCCTTCGAGAAACTTACACCTCCACTTACGACACTAACTCCACTGAATCTTTTCCAAGCTTCGAATCTACCACTCTGTAATTTTGTCCAATACAGTGGATGCTCGAACTTCCTCGACTTCTTTTCACAATCTCCTTTGATGTGTTGCATAGGATTTCCTCTGCGACTCTCTCCCTCCTGCTTGGAGAGAAGATGTCCTCATCTTCAGGTCGGTCAGCAGCAGAACTCCTCTTGTTACTGGTTGAAGTCCTCAATTGAAGAAGCAGTTGAAGAACTGCTTCCGAGTGGATCTTCTTTTTTGTAATCGCCTATTTTCTTGTTGAAAGCGATTACCATGCCCACATGTAACTGAGAGATGCGTAGCACTTGCATGTTACCAGCATTCAGCATGCATAGCACTTGCACATTACACCTTGTGAGGAGCGCCCTCCGCCTTGCACAGTAGCTGCAAAAAATCCCCCGTCTGCATCCATCCAAATCTATTAACTCGTTTCTAAGCCACTGCTCAATCCTTGGCTATCACCCAATCCCGTAGCTCTACCCACCTACTCCAATCATGCGCCAGCGACAAATTAGAAACGAAGTTTGAAAGGGCGCCTTCAGCTCTCCACTTCCTGCTACATCTGCTACCTCTCCGCCTACTCACGAGAAAATCTCCTGTCGAATGAGCCCCCTTGCCTTACTGCTGAGGGCGTCTACACCCCCTGGAGCGCCCCTTGTCGGAATAAGTCCAGGTGTAAGTTCATCAGGTTACCGACTTGCAAGCAGCAACAAAAGACAAAATTTGCGCCCATCAAGAACTCTGGCCGGGACTGCGGACGTGTTACGGTCGGTTAGAGACAATCTCCAGCCTACACCAAAGATCAGTAGCGAACCATCAGTATCTGCCAATTCCTAAGAAATTACCAAGAACCGGAGAATAAGGCCACTCGGCGAACAAAACCTTAAAACAAAAACTCACAAACAATTACTCACCATCAGAATCAGGGCAAGAACAATTACACAGTTAGAAAACACAAATCCATGACTGCGGAGGGCAAACGAAACGCCATGTCCAAAGTTAACATACAATACGGCACAACTTACTTCTGCTAAAAGGGGGGGGGGGGTAGATCACACTGCTAAATTGCAAGCTCGCAGGCCGTACCGCACCGCGAGGACGCACTGATCACACTAGAGGACATGAGAACCATTTTGGCGAGCAGCATCAATCCGCACGGCGCCACTCTATTGCCGAACATAGACGCGTCCGCCAAAAGCTTCTAACCCGTGCTGCTTGACACTGCGCCAACAACACACAAGCAGCTCGCTCCTGGCATCACTATCTAGTTAAAATAAAACGACCACAACAGACACTTTGAAGTGGAACATCCCACAGAAATATCACAACGACAAACCGAAACGCTTTTAACAAGGCACTATGTAATAAACAAACTCGAGACACGCTACATCAAAAGCACGGTGAACAATGAGGTGTCAAACATACGGAAAAGGTCCATAAAAATAATTAAACAAATAAATAAAAACATACCGAAAAGGTCTGAATCCCAGATACGCGTTTTTTTTGGGAGGAATCGAGGAGTACTTCTTTAGAACCCAAGCATGTGCTTTGCGTCACCCTTTGTAGCAGATGCGTAAAAGTTAAAAGCAGCAAAGCCTATTCTTAATGGCTGCAGCAAAGCCTTGCTCTCGGAACCGACATCTTTAAATTAACCGAATTGAAGGATCTTATGTGTTTTTTCTGGTGTGCACATACATGGCTGTATTCAAGCCGAACACTAGTATCACCAGTTCCAGTGATGAATTTGCAAGTGAACAGCCGCTTCTCGATGCAGCTCATCGACGATGACAACATTTACATCACCCACAAAGGAATTGAGTTCGAACTACCAAATCAGAGAAAAGAAGTTCCACTTTTATAATATTGAATTAGAGTTTTAATAGTTGTTTAAAAAAAGATTTTGACTTGATTACAATTTTATATAATACAATAAAATATATTTTAAAATAGTAAACCTTAAAATCAACAGTTTATAATAAGAAATCATAATTGAATGTCTACAATACATTGATGCATTTTCCTCAGTCTTTATTACAGCCGAAATAATAATAAACATATAAAATTTCTAATATTTACTCCTATTTTTCATGGCTTATGACATATTACAGGTTTCTTCACATCAACAAAATTTCATCAATTTCATATAACATATTTGATGTCTGCTTTTGTATGCATTCCATTGTGAATTAAAGTTTTCACCTGGGCAATTTAAGAATGGAAAAAAATATAAATACAATCATGCCCCCGCATAATTTATAACTCTTACTTAATATCCCTTGCTTAATTTATAACATTTGTTGGAACAAAAGTTGTTCCACGGTTGTAACTTTATTACCTTACTGTGTGCACAATTAAAGACAGCATGAAATTTAGTACAAAACTCATAACTCAAAATTACGAAAAAGGATTAAAAAATGGCATAGAAGATTTTACTTGATCAATACATGCTGTATGAAGAATATAATCAAGAAAACTAATAAGAAATAAACAAAACCCATACACAAAATCAGTAGGCACAAAGACTGTATGCTTTGTAGAATTTAACTAACTGAACTGAAGTTGCTTGTGCTTCTTTTCATCTTGCAGTGGAAAGGAAATAAAAATATTTTTTCACTCATCAAAAGTTTCGGAAAATCATGAGATTATCCCGATGCATTATAGAAACATGTCAATGTAAAAGCCGACGGAATGTTTGGAATATCGAGACTTCTGTCGGTTGATTTGGTTCAAGCACGTAAGAACTTTGATCTACTGTTCGAGATATTCACCAATTTACCCACAAACGGTTTTTTAAATAACTGAGAAACTCATTTAAAATCAATTTTAGGTAGTCGACACAGCCTAGTCAGAACAGGTGCCATAGGAAGATGTGACACACACTCGACACAAATACAAACGAGATATTTCACAACACATTAGACTGAGAGAAAGAAGATAGAGACTGAATCACGTCCATGTACACTACATCTAATCAGCTTTTGTCGAATCCTTTGGACTTGACTGGGTACATTTCTGTATATGAGAGAAGCCAACTAAAATGGGTCCTTGGTAAGCCGCTGGATGTCGTAGTGCTGAGCAGGGTGTTCACTGCGAGAGTTTTCAGTTGGGTTGCTTCGGTTTGGGAGGCTCCCGCCCGTAATGAGTTCCTTCCTGGCGCCAGTGAGAACTCAACTCCTTCGGTCTCGGCGTCATTGGAAGAAAGGACAACCACTTAAGCTGACAGCACTTGTTTCAGACAACATTGTGCAATGAGCTTGGGATATTCCCAGCGCGTTCATCTGCGTAAGAACACTTCGCAATATCTAGCTTTGTGATATCGAAGGAAAGCTCGAATCTTAGAGTGCGACCGTCTCTTCCCAATCCTCAAGGTTTTTACAGTCACAATTTACAATCGAGGTATTCAGCGGGACCCAAAGGTGGAAAGCCGATTTGTGCCGCTTGTCCTGTTTACATTTACTGCTGCTAACTGGTATGAGATTTTCTCCTATTTTATAGATGATGTGTATTTTAACATAGAGTGTGATTAGCATTGATAATCTCTGAAGGGACGGTGCTTCCGATTTTAGTTCAATTTACCGATGGAAGGCTAATTTCAAATGCGTGCCGATTGTTGGAATCGCACAATTTCTGCCACTCATGGTTAGCATATCTCAAGAGGGCCGCATCATGGGTATCCCGATAGCTCAGTAGTACCAGTTTCGTTCATCCCCTCGCAAGGAATGGGCAACGTGTAACTCGATTTCTTTACTTAATTTTGTTTCGCTTCGTTTTGTTTTAGTTCTTCTCTACGATTGTTAAGCAACTTGTTGGCCCAAATTCAAGCACGCTCTCATTTGTTGAATTGCAATCGTGCAGGAAACTCCTCGTGGTGAGGTTGATACGTGAATCATCACAGCCTACCAAACATGTAGCTTTTCTGAGAAACCCCGCATTTCAAACAGATGTAGAGAAAATGAACACTCCGTTTGAAATCATCATACTAATTTCAACGAAGTCCGCCTAGTTCAGTGAGCTTGAACTCCGAAGGGAAGAGCGATGCTTCTGTTGTTGAACACAACACCAACACGGTCAGTGCCTCTCCAGGAATTGTGTTTCAGTTCAGCAATCCGTATCTTCGTCACTTTCTAAAACTCTGTTGTTTCTTAATAGCATTAACCCTAAAAAGCTTCCTCCGCACGATACACCAACTGATTCTACTGAGATTGAACTGCCTCAAGCGAACAGATTTTGTGGGGCGGTGGCGGCAGATTGTTCCATATCCTATGCAGAAGAGCGGGAGCACTTCAGAGTATAAGTACAGTGGGGTCTCACTCACGAAGTATACCTTTCTCGGCCTTTTGGCTAAGATCAAGTGTAGTATCTGTTCTTATCAGTTTAATATCTGATACGAGGCTCATCGAGCCTCATGATATTAATCTAATTTTTTTCGGGTGCGGGTCCATCCGACAGCTTGCTGCCCGGACCCGCGAGCGTCGCCTTGGTATTGCACTACGTCCTTAGCTGGCGCAGCCCTCTCCCTCTTCCCCTGGAGGGACCCCCACAATGTAAGGTCTCAAACAGGAATCCCTGAATTCCATTACTACTAATGTAAAGTGATGACTATTGTTGATTTTAGTACTTCAGTCCGTTCATGAAGTGCGTTGCCTGAATCGAGATCAAGTGGTTGTTCTATGGCAAGTTGTCGGTTGAATTCCAGTTCTGATGTCTACTGGTTGCAATGTGGATTGTGTGTATTCTGTTTGTGAGTGTGGCCATGGCTGCTAACCGAGGCTGCCTAGATAACCACCATTACCCAAAACTTTCATGTGGAGTGTATGAATCTCCTTGGGAGGGGTAAGTGTTGGTGATTGAATTGAGACATTCTTAAAAAAATTTTAGATTTCTGATAATCTAACTTTGCCCTAATTATTAATTTATTTGTTCTAGTTTTGAATGATGAATGGAAATTTCTCCATTCTTTGGACTTATTACTAAATTTTAAGTATTTATTAATATGCATGTTAGATGAGGGGCAAAAATAGTGTAGTTGAGTAAATAACTTAAGGACTACAAAGGAGAACATGCTACCACGATGGAATCATTAAGGTATGGTTTTTTGGTTAAATAAAAAATTATTAAAAAAAATGTACAAAAAAAAAAAAAAAAAAAAAAATCTAAAAAAATCTAAAAAAATGTCATTTTTTTTTTGGTGCACCACATCTATATTTTTGTAATGGACTGGTAGTCTTAAAACCAGTATGTAAAAGCTTGTATTTGCTTATGTTACAAAAAACCATTAAATTTGAAATATTTTTTTGTTTGCAAAGGCATCTTGAAAAACTTGTTTAACCACATATTAACCACCAAATTCTTACATCAAATTAACAAAAGAAGAAAAAAATCAAATATATAAATATATATATATATATATATATATAAACATATATGGAAACGTTAAAATGATCCAAGTTTTTACTATATCAACCAACCCCTCTAAACCATTTCACTTTTTTGTCCTCAATTCTCCTAATTCTCAATTCCTACCATTGTTCTTTTTATTTTTAGCCCCTTGTACCTCATCTTGATCCCTTGCACCTTATTATTCAAAGCCAAAGTGACGAGGTATGTGTCTAAGAAAGAATTCTTTTCCATAGCCACAAGTGTTAAAGAAAATATTCTGTATTAGCATGTTTTGTGCTTCAAACTTATTTATAGGTAGTTCTTTGAGCTCTTTCTAAGGATCCTCATCTTCTTCTCCTTTGTTTTTTTTCTTGGATTCTTCTTTCAGTGTATGTTTTGGCTATTTTTTACTTTTGTTGATATTTTTAATAAAAAAGAAAACAACTTTATTCAATTGTATGGATGTTGTTTTTATTAAAAAATGTTTGATTTTAGGATAGACTTAATTTGAGGCCGTAAAAACCACTATGTCAATTAATGAAGATGAATTCCAACTAAATACTAGAAGAGGGAAAAAAATTGCTTAACATGTTTCACGTCTAAGGGAACTTGTCCTCTTTTCATTGGCTTCTCTCCTTCATGCAACATGATTTGTATTTTTTTTTAAAACAAAGCTTATTTCAAGGATGTCCACAATATTCTTTGCCTTTGCTTATAAAACTTATACATATCCAAACTCTAGATTAAGTATTAGTATACAAAAATCTTGGCTCTCATAATCCATGATCTAAAAATAAATAATACATCTTTATAGACTTGTGAAATTCTAACAAAGAAAAAAAAAAAAAAAAAAAAAAAAAAAAACTTAGAATATTATACAAGATTGCATTGTTTTTACCATTGTTGGAAGACAATCTCAAGTAATCTTGATAGGGCATGCATGAATTCTATATAATAATATTGCCAAAGTAAAGATAGGGATTAGAGGGCTCAAGATTGGAAACTAGAGACAAAGGCTAGAAATAAAAAAAAAATGAGGGAAACAAAGGCAAGAGCTAAGAATAGAAGAAATGGAGATAAGAATTAGGCAAGGAAGAATACAATGATGGTTTAGACATATGGATCAATTAGTAAAAGTCTAAATCATATATATATATATATATATATATATATATATATATATTCATAATATTTAAAATATATAATTTAAAAAATTAATATTAATCTATTTTATTTTTATAATTACTATTGATTAATTATATTTTTTTTAATATATTTTAGCTAAGAAAAATTGTGAAATATATAAAAGCTATATATATATATATATATATATATATATATATATACATATATTTATAGAAAATGATAAAAAATATAAGTTTTTACTAAAGCAATCTATTCTATCTTAGCCATCATTGCATCTTTGTAGCTCCCATCTATGTTCTCATCCATTTTCCATTCTCAATTGTTAATAGGGACAAGGGCATAGGATTGAGAACTTCAAGAATGGGGGCGATGGTTGAGAACATGTGAACAATTGGAAATGGTGTTGTGTTGTGATTTGGTTACTATGTAAAAATAATGCTTATAAATATTTAATATATAATTTACTATATAATATGGTAAAATTAACATTCTTAGATTTTAGTTAATTACAAAATATCGTTAGGTTACTACTTTAAAATGGTTAGTTTAAAAGGACTATTATTGAAGTTGATTTTATATTGATAATAGTTTTATATATTTAGAGCCACCTTTATTAGACATTGGTGACTCTTTAAATCTTATTTTGTTTCTTTTATTTGATGTATAGGACATAAATTATATACAACTTATTAGAAAAAGGGTTGAAAAAGAGTCTTGGTAGCTGTTGAGATCATTAAATGTAGCTCATGTTATCCGTAATATTTACTATAGACTATAGTAATTACCATAACTACAGTATTTAGAGTCTAGTGGAGAAGTACTATTTATCCTCTCCTCTTTTCTCTTCTTGTATACGAGACACAAACAGATCTATAGATTTGTGTGTGTGAAGCTCTCTCTTCTTAGAAATCCTCTTGTGTGTATGACTTACTACTACTCTTGTTTGTATGTATGACTTACTATTACTTTTGTATCTTTTGAAATATTCTCAATATGTTATCAGCATGACTCTCTTCTATACACTATTACAATTTTTTGCTCTAGTCTTTGACTCTTCAAACCTATTGCTACACTTTCTCAATGTCTATCTCATGATCTTGTTCTTCTTACTGGCCCCTCACACATTAGCTTGCTTAGAACACTTGTTCCATTCTCTACCCTACTTGCATAGAATACTTGATCTAGCTCAACTCCACCCCAGCTTGCTCTTTGCGCCCCGCCTCTTCTATCGCCAAACAATCGCCGAACCCGCCATTGTCGCTGCTACCACCCTATCACTGTTGATGCTGCCGCTTGCCACCACCGTTGCCCTAACGTCGCTACCACCATTGCCGTTGCATGTCGTTGACCATCGCCACCTGCCGTTGCTACCCTGTCGCCCTATTGCTACCACCCTACCACTACTTGTTACGCCATCTTATTGCTATTTTGCCCCTTAATCTACAATCTCCTTAAAATATATATATATATATATATATATATATATATATATATATATATATATATATATATATATATATATATATATATATATATTTTTTCAAGTTCAAGTTTATGATTTTATTTGACTTTATATTTTAAGGTACGTTTTACTCAACTTTTCTACTTGATTTTGAATTTCTTTACAGATTTATTTATAATGAGTGCTTCAACATCTTCAACTGCTTCTTCTATGGTTCCAACTATTACTAGTGCATCCCAACATTTTCAAGCTCTTTTATTTCCACCATTGACTGTGGATGGAAACAATTATCTATTATGGGCAAAAATAGAAAAAGCAAATTTATTTGCAGAACAACTCTTGGATGTCAATATATTTGAAGAATCTCCTACAACAAGTATTTTTATATCTCGTGCTATTTGTTGGAAAGCACTTCTTTTCCTTTGTCGTCATCTTATACCTGTATTATAACATCAATATTTAGCAATAGAAGATCATGAAGAACTTTGGAAGAATCTTATATCAAGGTTTGATCATCAAAAGACCATTTTTCTTCCATGTGCATGTTTTAATTGGACACATTTACGTATCTTGGATTTTCTAAATTTAAATGCTTTCAATAATAAAATATATAGTATTTTTTCACAATTACAATTATATCGACAAAGCATTTCTGGAGAAGAAATGATTGAAAAAACTCTCTTTATATTTCCTCATGTATCGGCTGTGCTTACACAACAATACAAGAACATGAAATTTTAGAGTCATTTTGATCTCATGTCCTATCTAGTTCTAGCTAAGAAGCAAAATGAGCTACTCTGGCGCAATGCGGAAGCTCCTCCTATTGGAACTAAAGTTTTAGAATCTCATGCATTTAATATTTCAAAGTCTAAGAAGAAATTATATAAACATGAAAAACATGCTCATAAGTATCAAGGTAGTCATAGTCAAGACCATTTCTATCTATATAGAAAGAATAAACATTTACTATTAATTATAGTAGAAAACAAAAATTAGAGATGCATTCTTGCTATAAGTATTGAATGATTGGATATTTAGCACATGCGTGCCTTATTTCAAAATATTTTATTATAATATTCTAAGAAAATAAGAAATTACGAGCTGAGGCTCGTGAAGTTCATATCGTGGATGCATCCATGGATTCAATTGGTGTTGATGACTTAGAGGCTTATATGAATGATAGAACCTCTAATGATGAATCAAATGATGTACTCAATGATTCTGTAACAACACATACTATCTTGAGAGATAGACGATTTTTTATTGAACAATCTTCAACTTGGTAAACTAAAAATATGATGACCATGGTTGGAACAAATGTGTTTAGTTTCTAAGAGGGTACAACAATGGTAAAATTACCTGCGAATTCCATCATAAAATATAAACATGTGATATTTGCACCCTCAGCACTTCGAAGTCTGATCAGCTATCGAGATATGCATACTAATGGTTATCACCTCTCGACCGCCACTTTAAATAGAAAAGAGGTTTTGGTTCTTGCAAAGAATCATAAAGTTGTTGAAAAAGCTTTTGCTACAAAAAATGGTTTATACCAAATTGTGTTTCGGCCCCCCATTATATTTAATTTTGCATCATCTATCTTAGAGAGTTGTGTTTCTGGCACGAACGATTGCG